ACACAAACACACACAAACACTCACGCCTGTCACCCAGAGGGGTAGGCAGAGACTACGGACTTCCATTTGGCGCGATCCTGACACACCTCTCTCGCCTCCTTTACATCCATATAGCTACCCATACACGCTCGTCGGTTAAGGGTACTCCTAATCTGGCCCATTTTCAATGTATCGCCGATTTGGTCGATAAATCTTCGTCTAGGGCGTCCCTTCCCGACTCTGCCGTTCACTTCTGAAACATAAATTTACTTTGTCACTCTTTCCTCGTTCATTCTTTCTACATGACCAAACCACCGAAGCATTCCTTCTTTAATCTTGGTCACAACGTCATCTTGCAAACCACACTTTTCTCTTATCATACTATTTCTCACCCTGTCATTCAGATTCAGCCCTAGCATACTCCTTAATGACCGCATTTCTACAGCATTTATTCTATTCTCATGCTTCTTCTGCCAGACCCAACTTTCACTACCATACATTAAAGTAGGGACTAACACAGCACTATGAATTGCCATACGTACCTTCTTTGACACATTCTGACAACACGTAACATAATTAACGCACTTTGTGAAAGTAGTTTGTTCAGAATCGTTTACTGAATCGGTTTCTATCATTTTTAATATAGGTAATTTTTTTATCCCAAAAATAATTGAAACTACGTAATTTACAGTCACGCCTAAACCTGTACAGTCAAAACAAACTGAAATGGACCGTAACTTAAGGCAATAAGACTTTTAAAAGTGAGTTTTACTTGTATTAATACAAATTCCGTCATTCAATACAAAATAAAGAAAATTGAACCTTATTTCAAGTATGTTAAAGTCTTTACAAATACAGAGTTTGGAGTTCCTTATAAAGGTCGCGGCGGCCAGGCCACTGACCTCCCAGATCAGCTGATTTGACGCCTCTTGACTTTTTTTATGGGGATGTATTAAATCATTAGTTTACTTTAGTGAGCCAACAAGTGCCGAGGACCTTTTTGTGACGATTTTAGAATAGTGAAAAATGACACTGAATTGCTTTCTAAATTATTTTCTTTCTTTTTTAAAACGTAACCTCCACACTAGGATTTTCTCTTGTATTGTGGGGGCAGTGTACAAACATAAATTGCACAAGGTCAAACATCCAGACCCGGAAAAATTATTTGTAGGCCATACAAATATTGTTCCGTGCGGGATTCGAGCCCGCGGTCCTTAGCGCTGCAACTCAATTGCTAAGCCACTGCGCCACGGAGCCGTTGTGGTTTAAATACAACGTTGCATGAGAGTTTAGGCTATCAGTAAGTTAAATATTTGAATTCTTAAAATTATTGTAATCTTGATTCACATCTTTTAAACACGCCATCTTTGAATTATGTTAGTTTTAGCAGTTCATTATTATTTACAAATACAATTAAAATGTTATGCAAATTCAAAAAAAAACTAGCAAGTACCTACACCTAGCGTTCGTGGTTTTGTACGGTGACCACAACATTCTTCCGGAATTAGTATAACTAATTTAATAAATAATCAATGCATAAACATGTTTTAGTAAGAATATAATAATAATTAAAAATAATGTATTATGATTATAACATAATATACTAATTGGGGTGTCTGAGGATGCGCGTTAATTACGTTAGATTTTGTACATAAAAAAAGTAAGAACACAGGTTAGTAAGTATTTTAGAAAACAATTTATAGATAGGCTGAATTAATTATAATTATTATCTAAACATTATAAATGCGAAAGTTTGGATGTTTGGATGGATGGATGAATGGATGTACGTTACTCAATCATGCCAGAATGGTTGAAGGGATCTGGATGATATTTTGCTCAGAGATAGGTTTATATAACACATATGATACCGTTTATTCAGGTATTTCGTTTCTGTTGCATAATTTTGGAGTTACATGCGTTCGAAGCCGCTGGCAACAGCTAGTACGGACATAAACTGCGATGACTGTTCAAGTTCATGTGTCGGCGTCGTGAACTCTTGAGTGATCGCTGCATGAACACCCGGGGAAAACTCAACTTCCCTCTCCAATGAGTCATATATGACTCACAGGAACGTATTAGAATAAGTTCATGAGTCACAGGTGACTCATTTCTCAATACAACTTAAGGCAAATTTGTTGGTATGAACGTGACGTGATATTGTTTTAAATCATACGTGGACGTATAGTAAAAAACCTATTGTTTATAATAATAAAAGAAAACTTCGCAATTTTTTTTAAAGTTGTCATTTAATAACTACAATAAACTTGCTATAAATAAAACTCAAATACTGAAGGTGAGGATTTTATTCAAAGAAAATATTATAAAATCAAGCATGTTTCTCATTATAACATTCTAAACTGAATGCCTTTTCACACCTTTTGCACTCAGTGTGTACTTGCTTAGCGTTTCTAGCCAATAATCCTTCATTTTTCAATTTGACATAGCAGTGCATCTATTTCGTACGAGTTTATTGTCGGCCTTTCGTGGTATTTCTTCCAGAGAATGTCCAGAATTGCTTGAAGAAGCAATTAAAGATCTTGGAAAGCTACAGGAGATTGAAGATCTTTGAGGAAGATTACTTTCTGTGGTTGATGCTGCAGGTCCAAGGAAATGTCGAACTAGATGTTCTTGGACTTGTAAAATTATTATATAAAATTATTATAATAAATTATATAATAGTTCGATTCTATAACTATCAATTTTGCAAATGCATCCTTAATTCTAGTGACTAGCGACTAATAAGTAAGTCAGGTTGCAATGTTATTGATTACTCTATGTTTCTTTGATAGATATTTTAGTTTTGTTTGTGATTATTATTTTGATATAGTGAAGCAGTGTTTTTGTTTTTCAAGTCCACCTTAGACAATATCGTCACTGCCACCGCCAAAGAAACGAAACGGCAACGTCGCGGATTTTTTCAGCCAATCCGATCGTTTGATGTGCTCTGATTGGCTCATTTAAATCGGATCAACATTTTGCGTAACTATCGCAAGGTGGATTTGTATATCAGATCAACTTCGGGGAACGCTAGTAAGTAGTCCCGTGAGTGTAGATGTTGATCCTGTCGGAGCAACATTAGTTACCAGAGATGCATATTGGATCAAGAAAAGGCGTCGGATCAACATACATTTTCGGATCAACAAAGTGCTCGCGTGAAGTCGCGTCTGATCAACATTTACCGTGAAGAAATCTATATATATATATATATATATATATAATGTATATACTGACGAGAATAATATAGTGAAAAGCAAGCTTAAGAATCAAAATGCAGATGCATTGTCACCCCTGAAGACTATACCTCGTTGCCAGTAAAAATGGTCTCCGGCACTTGTCATTAACTATTGAAAACCGCATGTTATGCTACTATTTTACGCTGGTATACTGTGAAGCTGATTTGACGGATATAGAAGTTGATCCATGCACGTGGTTCAGGGCTGTGCTTTATGGCATTGCTTGAGGGTGGCCTATGTTCAGCAGTGGACTTCTAATGGGATGTATTTCCAATATTTAAATATAATGAAAACTAAAGTTTCATTTGATTGTGAACCGTAGCAAGACATTATTATGACTGAATACCGATCCGAATTTCAAACAAGTTGTTTTGTTTTTGGGTTGGATTCATTTTGTATTTTTCTTTTTAATTATAATTCATATCATATCATACGAGATACCTACTGCCATAATGTTAAGTTTTGCACAGCTGGGAATCTGCAATCATATTTTATGAAAATATTATAAAAGTTGGTAGTAGTAGGAATAGTTTCTTCGTATTTTGTTTGTAGCAATTTTCGATGTCAAAGATGCGTCATACTCAAAAAGTCGATGCTATTTTTGAAAAAGTAGAGCAACATACATATTATTACGACATAGCCGAGGAATTGAGGATGGACCACAAAATAGTTTTGACCCATTTAAAAAAAGTCTAGCTATATAAAAAAGCTCGATATATGGGTGCCACCCAAGCTCACTAAAAGAAATTTAATGAATTGTGTAGTCATTTGCGATTCTCCATTGAAACGTAATGAAACCGAACAATTTTTAAAAAGATAAAGGTGATGAAAAGTGGATCACCTACGACAAGAATGTGCTAAAAAGATCAAGCTCCACAGACTAGCGAAACCCGGATTAACACGCAATAAGGTGATGCTGTGTGTATGGTGGGATTGGAAGGGCATCGTTTATTATGAGCTTTTACCACCGGGCAAAACCATCGATTCGGATCTCTACTGCCAACAACTAATGAGACTCAAGCAAGAAATGGAAAGAAAACGTCCGGAATTGATCAACAGAAAAGGAGAGGTTTTTTCATCATGACAACGCCTGACCACACACATCTTTGGCCACTCAGTAAAAATTGAGAGAGCTTGGTTGGGAAGTGTTAATCCATCCACCATATAGTCCTGACCTTGCTCCTTTAGATTTTCGGTCTCTTCGGAATTGTTTGCGTAATATATTAGGTTAACATATACAGGACAGGACTGTCAAAACTCTTGTCGTATTTTTTTATATCAAAATCCCAAGATTTCTACAGCAATGGGATTATATGACTACCTACAAGATGGCAACAAGTTATCGAACAAAATGGCACATATATATTCAAATTATATGTAATTAAAGTTTTAAAAAAATGTTTTGAATTAGTATATAAAATACGAAGAAACTTTTCCCAACCTACTAGTTATTTTTCAAAGAATAGCCAAATTTTAATCTTAAGTTCAAATATATAAATAATGATAAGCTGCTATTGCAGTTTTACAAAATACTAGTAAATAAGGCTTCTAGTTTTATTTGACACTATCCCAAATGCAGTAAAATCAGTTAAAATAATGCATTACCACGTTTTTTGAATTTAAAATTAAAGATAAAAAGGACAGAATGTTTGAGATTTTTTTAATTAATTTTTCTTTACCATTTGCCTATATTACTTATTCTGAATCTTCTCTGCAATTTGACCGGCTATTACAAAATAATCCTGTATATTGGATTTAACACAAATAAGGTTTTGTTTCCATTTTCAGATCTTAACAACAGAAGAAAGCATACATAAAGTTGGATCAATTACATTGTACAACAAAGTATCTGGCGAGCCATATTTATGGGAGGGGGTTATACAACCACTCCCCTCCAACTTGCCCTACTACAATGATTTACATTGCTTAAAGCTAGAATTGTCTAGACTAGATCTTTTACCTAATAGCGCTAATCTAAAACTACTAAATCGTGAATTAGTAATCAATTCCCCTAACAAAGTGGTAGTGGGGCAGCCAGAGTTGAATGATATACATATTATTTTATTTATTAAAATATTGGACTGACTTTTTATATTTTAATGCTATTTAAATAGCATGAAAGTTAGATCTTCAGAAAAAACAACTGTATATAGCTATCCCTTTCTAGCAATATAATACAAACAATCATGTTTTTTTCTTTATATTCTTGTACCGTTGATTAGTAAATGAATGGGGTTTGCATTACTTCAAAACAGTATTATTTATAATACAGATAATAAATAAAATAATGTTTTTTATAGCAGTTAGGTACTTGGTTTTAAATATCGTAAGAATAAATTAAATAGTACCCGTCCATAGCTATAACTAATGATGATATTTTTAATTTATTAAAAATAGCGTAACTTTTAGAGCGTAGCATATATAAAGCTATATAAAACATTATTTGGTTATATATTCATTGTTTGTATTCGGTTCTATAATTGTAATATACCGTACGCGCAGCTCAAATGCCCCTCTTAATCTCAGAACACGAATAGTTCTGAGATTAAGGCGTTTCCCTGACCAAATAACCTTGAGCAATGCAGTGCACTGCCGCCCGCACTCTGCGTACGCCCATTTATTATAGAATTCACACAATGTTTGGAATTAATTTCAATTAAAAAAGAAAAGCGAAATAAAAAATTAAATAAAACGTGAATAACATATATTTTTAAATTATCTATCCATTAGTGTAATCCTCAAATAATTAGAGCGTTGCCTTTAGCAACAGATGCATGTAATCAATAATTTTAGTCATTTTTTTTAAAGTAGTTTTTAAATGTATTTATAACACATAAAACAAATTAGAATGTGGAATGTTATGATGGGATATCGAACATTAATAATGTGCTTTTAGATGTAGTTTATTTCTCATAACTAATGAGATAATAGTCTCTGAATAACGAAGAAAAACAGACTATTGCAAGGTTTTGGTCGGGATATCGCCTTAAGAGGCGTAAAGTGTTGAAAATATACATTTCTACAGTTTACAGTTTGATTATAATGAAGTGGGTTTGTTGAAAATGTTTTTCCGTGTTCCATTTCGATAGGAATCCTACCTGGTTTTATTTAAATTCTACGACATATATTATTTATGTGTAAAATAATAGCACAGTTCTTTTTTATTCAAACAGAAAAAATTAAACTTTTAAAAGTACAGGGGAATTTTATTCGTTTGCTCTTTCACTCAATCATATTAGAACTTTTTATTCAATAAACAAACGGTAAGGTTTAGTTTATGAAGTTTGTTTTCGTTGTTTATTTAAGTATGTTTTCAGAACTGATTAGTTTATTTACTTATGTTTATTGTTTTTGACCAGTATTATCTTTTTGTGATTTTTGGGCTTATCCATAGACATAGAGAGAATGGACTGAGCGTTAGCCTCACAAAAATGACCATTCTCTAGAAAGAAACAAAGCGACTGTGCGGCCTATACCTGTTCCTTTCCTGCAAGCTTGATTGATCCACGTCCTGCAAGCCAGTGACGTAGACTAATCAGAATCCTAGAAGAATATAGCTACTGGCCGCACATTGGCTTTGTCTCTGTCTCTCTCGCACTTTTCAGTCTGTATTTACTGCACAACTGAATATGGAATGCACAGTCCATCTCTTTTGTGTCTATGGGCTTATCTATGTTAAGATTTGTATTGTTTTCTACTGTTTCTTTTTTGGACTGTATTTCGACATTTTGATATAAATATTTTACTAGTAATTAAGTTTGTTATTCAATCATTATGATTTTGATCTGTACCGCTTTAGTCTTTTTTATTTAATAAAAATAAGTTATCGTGTCTAATCATTACGTTGCTTTGTATTTCAAATAAAAATAATATAAGATTACGAGTCAAATAGAGTTGTTTCAGTTTACTTAGTAAACGTTAACAATTCTAGTACTTGTGTTATGTTGTATGTACTTAAACTATGTGATCTATACATTAGATTAATTTTGTCACAAATGCAAATTGCACTAAGGTAAATTCTACTATCTATAGTTTGTTATTAGATAAGCTCAGTAGACTCGATAAGATCATAATATGTGTTGTGATTAGATGATTAATTAACCGGTCAATTGAACGGTTTACGTGAGTCCTGGGTTTATATCGACCTTGAAAAAGCTTAGCTAAAACCTTTGTTTAATGTTTAACAAGAAGACTGAGAAAAGTTTAGTCATTTGGTTAAACAATACAATTGTAGTTATAGTATTTTTATCTCACGATGTCATTAAGTCCGTCCTTTGTATTCTTCTGAAATATAGAATTAAATAAAGAAAAATTTATAAGGGTGTCACGTTCCAATCATTGATTTAATGTAAATAAATTCCTTTTGCACAAATAAAAATAATTTTGTAGCTAATCTACTTGAATAATTTATATTAATTTGTTCAATTATGATGGGCTTGCTAACGCTACCTGCAGTTACGCACACAAGCACGCGTGTCTCTATACATCACAACTACAAATAAGACTCACCCGCCTTCGTTAGATAAAAAATCTATACGGGGGTGATCGTAAAATTCCTTGTATAAAGAAAGTAATAATATTTCTTTATACAAAAAATTGTTTGTATAAAGAAAGTAATTACAATAAAGCCTACTTGAAAGAACAAGATTCATATCGTAAATAGCATCGAAATGACACCTAATAAATAGACTTGTTTAAAATTAGATATGAGATCTAACTTTGATCACCAAAGTTGCACGAAAGTGACTAAAATGCTAATTAAGTTTTGTTTTTTTTTTTTTTCAAATAATAATCATTTCAAGGACACTACTATAGACATCTTTTACAAAAAAAAATCTATAATTTATTATAATGTCTTTTTATAAATAAACACCATAGTGCAACTTTGTATAAAAGCAGATTTTATTGCGTTTAATTCTCGACATTTTGAGTTCTTTACAGATTCCGTGTCATAAGGGACCAACGTATTTAAAAATAAAAAAGGTTTTAAAATATGTTAAAATTAATCGTGATAAAATCCGTAGAAGGTATTTGCGAAAATATAAGAAAACTTTAGTGCAAGTTTCTTTTCATTTAATTTTTAATTTAAACTTTTTCAATCTGTGGTTAAATATCAGATTGTCTACGAACAGTGCCATATTTTTTATTTAGTTATTAATTTGTATTCCAGTTACATTACACTAATAATTGTTTTTGATCTCAAATTTTATATTTTTAAGGTTGATTAAAAAATTCTAAATTAAACGCCTTTTTATTTTACCTTCCCTAATTTCGAACATGAGCGTACGAGTGATGACATAGATCTGAGACGTGGTCTTTCGCTGCTAGCCGAATGAGGAAGGTCAAGGTCGTTAAGCGGCTATTTCTGAAGTTTCTCTACGTAATAAACTTTATATTATGGATATCTACAGTAGAACCAGATTAACCGAATTTTTTGTATAGAATGAGGTTGACAAACGAGCACACAGTCCACCTGATGGTAAGTGGATGCTGTGGCCCATAGACATCTACATTTATTAAAATGCAGATTCGTTGTCACCCCTGAGTACTGAGATGGAATGCCTCGTTTCCAGTAAAGTAAAGGTCTCCGGTTCTCTACACTCACTATACGAAACAGCAGCATGAAGCTGCTATTTTACGTTGCCATTCTGTGAGAGTGTGGTCCCACCCTAGACGAGCCAACCCATTCGTGCTACAACCACAATATAGCTGCAGCATGGCTCTACCACGTCAAAAACGAGAATATATATATAAATAGAACAACGATGAAGTAAGATGAGGTGGCAATGGGCCGGATATAGAACCGACAACCGATAGGGAAGAAAAGGCGACGCCGTACCGGTAAGCGAAATGTAGAGCAGACATCCACCAGAGAAGTGACGACGTGGTAAGAAATGCAGGTGACTCAGGACTGTCCTTTGGGGCATTTCTTGGGGGAAGCCTATGTTCACCAGTGGACTTGTGGCTATAATGATGACGATATTTCGAACTCAAATTTTATTTTTAAGTGGCGATACACACTTGTGATTCCCCTGTATTGCTTCACAGAGTACATTGTATATACAAGAAATATTGCCTCTACTTGAATAAAAAGGTCTAATATCGTTTTTGGCGGATTTGCTCACGCTCGAAGGATTGTGTTAAGTACTGTGTAATAGCGGTGTAAGAATATCCACTACCCCATATCATCCCGTGGGTGTCGTAAGAAGCGACAGAGGGAAACAAATCAGGAGATGGCAGCAGCGCCTTTCTAATAACGATCAAAAATGAAAAAATTGCAGTTGCCAAGCGTGGCAACTATGCCAAATATCCCCCTATAAGGCAGGCCTATGTTCAGCAGTGGACTTTCATAGACTGTAACGGTAACGGCAGGATTGTTGACTCTAAGCGTGACACCCTCGCAATGAGGGCATCCACGACTTTTTACTACCAGGCGCCAATATTTGATAGATTCCATAGCGGGGAAGTATTAGATTAATAATTAAAAATTTTGTACATCCGACTTCAATATAAATTATTAAGAATAACTCAAAAACTATTGCTCTGACCGCGATCAAATTCATATGGGACCACATGTGAAGTACTAGCTTTCAAATAAAAAAAAGAATGATAGAAATCGGTTCACCTAGTAAAAAGTTTGAGGTAACACACATAAAAAAACATACAGTCGAATTGAGTACCGTCTCCTTTTTGAAGTTGGCAGAAAATAAATAAACCAAACCACAGATATTCATAAAAGTCGAACAATTAAAACAAGAGTTACAAATGTGCAATGTATTAAAAAGCAAACTACTGACGCATTGTTTTTTGGACTAAATATAAAACCTACTCTAGAAACTGATAAACTTCTATTTAAAGCAAACTTCTCAATTAAATGACATTATGTAACAAAAACCTTCACCTCGGCACAGAATAAATAGTATACCTCAGTGTCTACTAGCGACATCTGGTGTATGGAAGATTATTAGCAGTCATTGCCCGCAACGCACTCTTTTCATAAACATGTTTAATAATATGTTATAGGTACGTACGCGTTGCGGTGACCGCCTCGTTGTTCTAGAGGTCGTAAGCGTGACACTCTCTCTACAAACTTGCTAAACAAGCTATAGTCTGTGGGGATACATTATTATTTAAAAATTATTGCTATGACTTTATAAGAACTACGAAATTATTGTATAGAGGTAGGTGCTCAAAACATTTAAACAAAACGGAAACGACAAAAGGCTGTCAGTATGCCAAAATTCAATCCACCATTCCTTCTAAGCCTTGGTTTTATAAATTAACCTTAAATAAGAAACATACATCAATGTTATGTAAAAGGCGTTTGGGTCACTGTTGTAATTCGGTTCCCCTTGCTAGGCTTCATATTAAAAATACTTCTATATGTGTGTTCACGCCCTGAGTTGCCCCGACAAAGGTTGACTGGACTAGGGCCCATGAGTAATCCAATCGACGGGCAACAGAGGACGGGGCCCAATGGCCTATGGATAATTCTTAATTAATTGCAAATAATCAGGCACCACTTACCTAATTCCGGAGGTAGAGTTGACCACAAGGTACCAGTCAGGTGATAAGTGAGGTGTATGTAAGTAGTGTGTAGTAGTGTTTATATATGCCCGATTAAATCGGACAGAAGATAAACAGGAGCTGACGTTCTCCCGATGTACGCTGACGTTCTCCCGATCCCGATATCCCTCCAGTCGTAGTTCACCAATTGAAAACTTCTGCCTTCATTTCACTATTTCAGTTTATCAACTTTATTGTACATTATTTGAATCTATCAACTTTATTGTACATTTAATTGACTTCAAATTCAATTAAATGCCCGTTAATCGTAATCAAACATATGACACACGGCACAACTAATGAACGGTCGATCAAAGTTCAAATTATTTCTAGAAACTGAACGCGACCTTCCCTCGGGTCACAAAGTTCCGCGTTCCACACAACAAATTGCAAACAAAGGTAAGTTAATTTAATCACTCAACCCTTAGACAGGCCTCGTTATCGCGTAAACGCACTAAAATGATAACACAAAATAGAAGCGATCTTAAAGCGACCTCACGAGTCTAGCGAAAAAACTGCAATAGTAAATTCCACACGCATCAAAGACCGGACGTTGATCGCAATCAATATTAACTTCGAAAACAATTAACCGACCCGGCGTCCGCGCAGACAATATATTTTTCTAGACTCAACAAAACTCCTCGTCGTTGCATAAACTTGCTAACAAAAACCGACACTATTTAGAGGTTATACGGTACGCGACCCCGCTGTTCTAGTTACTGCACTGCATTGTCTTGACTTCCGACGCGCCACAATTACTCAAACTCTAGACCATCAAAACCAAGGCCGCACGCAACCGATCCAGCGGTCGCAAACAATACAACTATTCGACAGAGTCGCGGCGGTCAAGCTACCGATCTCGGCCCACCCTGTAGCGGCATACCGCCCCCCCCCCCCCCCCCCCCGGCGGCGTCTAAACAATGTGAGTGTGGTTTAGATATTGGTGACCTCAACCATATTTTCTTCTCGTGTCCTTTATATGATCATACTTCATTATTTAACACTTTGGTAAAACTTAAAATACCTCTGCCTGCCTTCTGCGTACTGTAATGACAAGCCTTAATAATAAGCACTTAGTATCTGCTCTATATATGGATTTAACTAAAGCTTTTGACTATGTTAATCACAGTATCCTCTTAAGTAAACTAGAAGCATACGGAGTCCCAGGAAATGTCCTCAATCTCATAAAAACATACTTAATAAATAGACAACAATGTACACAAATTACCCGTATATGCTCAAAAACTTATAGAATAGTTTACTCATCCTCATATCGCGAAGTAACTCAAGGAGTACCCCAGGGAAGTATTCTTGGTCCATTGTTATTCCTTGTTTATATAAACGATTTACCAAATTATATAAATCAAGATATGGTACTATTTGCAGACGATAGCACAGTGATGTTTACAAGCACAAGCAAAAATCAAATGATATCTGATATAAATCAAACACTAGACATAATAATTCAATGGTTATCAAATAATAATTTATTAATTAATCTAAATAAAACAAATCTAATGACATTCAGAAACGTGAAAAATAATTTAATAAATATTAATATTTGCTACAACGGACAAGAAATTAATGTAGTCGAAAATGCAAAATTTTTAGGCCTCAATCTCGATTCAAACTTAAAATGGAAATCTCAAGTGGAAGATATTTGTACTAAACTCAATCGGTTCTCTTATGCTATATATAGACTTGGAACAATTGTGAATCAATCTGCCGTCATCACTGCGTACCACGGTTATGTAGAATCGGTGTTAAGGTATGGTGTCATCTTTTGGGGTAACTCTGTAGATAATGAAATGATATTTAGAGCCCAAAAGAGATGTGTAAGAGCCATTGTGAAGTTAAAACAGACGGATAGTTGTAAACCATTTTTTATTAGTCTGAAACTGTTAACACTTCCGTGCCTTTATATATATGAGATAGCCGTTTTTGTTATTACGCATATTTCTTTATTTGAGTGCCTACACAGTAAACGTAATAATCAAAAATATGAAATTCAATAATTGACTCTTACATGACTGAGAATAACTAAATTGACTTGACTTATACAATATTATCTAAATTGACTTATCGCTATTATTTTTGATTTTGTATCATGTGAATTCCAATTTTAACTAGAGTATGTTTAAGTAATTTAATATAAAAGTAATAAAATGTGATGGACATTGCATGCCAAATGGCGGAATATAGCTGTACTAAATGTTTGTTCTATAAGTGATAAACTATGTAAACACCAACTGTATCAACCTATATTCGCAATAAACGATTTGAATTTGAATTTGAAAGAAATTCGTTCTCTTTTAATTTATTCTAAAAAAAGTAAAAATGTTTTCAATTGCATTATGGAATATTTAGATTTAAATAATATTTAGTTATAAAATTGTATTCATTATTTACAATTCAATAGCCTTTATATAGTTTTATTTCATATTTTAAATGTGGTAATGAATTCAGTTTTATTTTATTTTAATTCTATATAATATTCTTCATTTATTGAATAAACTTCAGTACTAGTCATTTCATATTTCATTAGTTCTTAATTTTATTCGGTGTTTAATCAGAATCATAGTTTTCATTTTTATTGTTCGCCGTTTCTTACAAGTATTATTTATTGACTGGAGGTTGACTGGGCAGTAATTGTAAGGTTGCCATAAATAAATAAATAAAATACAGCTGCAACATGCCCCTACCGCGTATAAAAAACTACTTTTGCCAATCTTCGATAACAATCATTAAGAAAGGAAATATAAAATGACGTCAATCTGACGTAATTTCAATCTGCAAAATATTTACTTTGATAACGTGTGTCAATTTTGAAATGTTTTGTTTTGGTAAAACTGCAAAACTGATGTAAATATTTTTAAATTATTAATTTCGGTTAAATTATACAAATATAAATGTGTGACGAACCCGCACCACGACAAAAAATACCTAAAGATGGCTTCGGACCTAGAGGAGCGCCAGACTGTTATTATGTAATTATTTCACTATGTTTTTTGTGTAATTTCAGTGCAACTTCAAACATTCAAAAATATTTTTTGTCTGGAGTTACGTTCGTGGGTGAGGATGAAAATAAATATTGTAGCAACCACTTGGTAACATGGTATTATTAACCAAAGGGTTTACAAATCACTGCGTTTATTTAGATGTAGTAGATTCACGCGCTACAGGAAGTTCAACACCCGTGATACGGAGCGTTGTTAGATTAATCGTTGTTGATAGTGGTTCAAGTCGTGGTTCGTACGTACTTATAAAATTTCCCTTGAATAACATCGAGCATCGCTCCAATAACAGGGGCTGGGGTGCTTTGAGACTGCAGACGGTGCCGGCAGAATCGGCGTGGTACGCAATTACTCGAAAGTCTATTCCGGCGAAGTTGTGAAGGCTTAACATACACTTTCAGAAAAAAAATAGTTGTAGAAAAGTTGTTAAAAAAAAGAGGCAGTCATAAGGAATGCCGACAGAAGTGAAAACTCATTGATATATGCGTATAAATGTACACAGGCCGCTATACTACGCGTCGCAAGTATGGCGCAAGCGCAATACGTCACTAGCATGTCGAGGTCATTGGTGATGCGAACCCATAAGTTTTTCCCCTACCAACAATCGCTCGACGTGGCTAAAGAAGTTTTCACTTCTTAAATAGTTGTACAAAATATTGATGCTTATAATTGTTTGAATAGCTCGGAACAAGTGGCATAGCAAGAAGGGCCGGAGGTCCATACGGCAATCGTTAGAGGGCGGCATTTTGGAAATGAAAATCGGTTCCCCGCGGTTCGTTGCCTTTGTTACTGAATAAAAGTTCCAACATTTATACGTTCAATAGCAAGGGCTGGGGTGCTTCTAGACTGCAGACGGCGCCGGGCGGTCGGCGGGTCTTCACCCCTTTGTTGTCGATATTCCACGCATTACAACCAAACGGTTTGCTTCGACTTTTATACTGCTTACAGCAAAGGAGTGGAACTATTTGCCGGCGTCTTTCCGTCTATCTAATATCTTTCCTTAATATCTTTCCGTCCGAATACAATCAGGGCGTCTTCAAGGCAAGAGTGAATAGGCTTTTGTCCCGATAAGACAGTGCGATTCACCATCTAGGGCTGCATCACCACTTACCACCAGGTAGGATTGTGGTCAAGCACTGGCTTATAATAAGTAAAAAAAAAGAAGAATCTGGGCAAAGGTCTCTTATTTTTGTAAGGGTTATGAAGCAATTAATCCGCGGCGACTCTCTGTGGTTTGTGGCATTTCTTGGAGGAGGTCTATGTTCAGCGGTGGACTTGTGAAGGGCCGTAGTGAACTCTTTTGTTGTGTTACTGAACACTTTTGGTTAAAATATTGCAAACACTATGACAAGTTCTGAAAATAAATATTATTTACACACACACCTTAGCCAAGAAAGACTGGCCAATTTGTATTTTTTAATTTACTTTGAATATGGGGGGGGGGGGGGGGGAGCATTTTTGACTCTAGCGGCAGTTATCAATACTACGCCATTGCTTACTGCTTATTTTCACGCCGACAATAGGCAATTTCTGGACATGGGCCATAGAAGCCGGTCGCCGGTCGAAATATTACACCTAGTAAAAAATATGCTTTTATCACCATCTATCGACCGCGTAGTGGTAGTGTAAGAAAATCAAGCACCTCATCGTTCCGTAGGTGTCGTAGGTGTAGGTAAGACACGACAGAGGGAAACAAACCAGAAAATACTTTTCTACATAAACTCTTCTAAACAAACTGTATCGACTTCTTAATAATTGTATGTACGCTTCATTTTCGGTTTGCGTAAATACGACCACATTTCCTCTTATCGTTCTGAGCTTAAATGGCTACCTCTCCGTTATCAGAAATATTCAGAATACTGTACACGTTATTTTCAGTTTTAGACGATTCATTTGTCATGCAAATTTCAGTATCAGGGTGATTCCCATAATCGTTGTATCCGTTCTGCGGAAAAATATAACGTCCATGTCCCCCTCTGTCTTCGTTTGTCACACTAGCTTCTTATACGAGTCTTAACTAATTATGTATGTACCATGTATGTAGATATATATTTGTGTAATTATGTTTATAGTATGTATCTTTGTATGTATTAGTAGTTATGGTAATATTATGTACACATATATTTTTAACTTAGAAAACAAAAACAAAAACACTCACGCCTGTCACCCAGAGGGGTAGGCAGAGACTACGGACTTCCATTTGGCACGATCCTGACACACCTCTCTCGCCTCCTTTACATCCATATATCTACGCATACACGCTTGTCGGTTAAGATACTCCTAATCTGGCCCATTTTCAATATACCGCCGATTTGCTCGATAAACCTTCGTCTAGGGCGTCCCTTCCCGACCCTGCCGATTGCTTCTGCAACATAAATTTGCTTTGTCACTCTTTTCTCGTTCATTCTTTCTACATGACCAAACCACCGAAGCATTCCTTTCTTAATCCTGGTCATAAAGTCATCTTGCAAACCACACTTTTCTCTTATCACACTTTAACTTAGCTGTTTTTTTTATAGGATAGGGTGACAAACGAGCACACAGCCCACCTGATGGTAAGTGGTTGCTGTGACCCATAGCCATCTACATCTATCCTCAATAAAGAATCAAACTGCAGATGCGTTGTCACCCGTGAGGACTAACATGGAATGCCTCTTTTCCGGTTAAAAGGGTCTTCGGTTCTTTACACTCACCATACGAAAGCATTAAGCTGCTATTTTACTCTGGTATTCTGTGAGAGCGTGGTCCTTCCCCGGCCGAGCCAACCCATTTGTGCTACAACTATACTTCTAATATAACTGCAGCATGGCTCTACAACGCATAAAAAATGTTTGCATTTTGCACCTACACACATAATATCTTCTCTGCTTAGCTTGGAGGTAGACTGGTAGAGAATGTGCAAATAAAGCATAAATAAATATAAACACACAGCACTGTTACTAAACAATAAGAAAAGTGCGATTTTCAACCCACCTGCTAAGCGTTGCAACTGTGGCTAATATCCACCTAACAGGCAATCTGTGGGAGAGACCTATTTTCAGCAGTCGACTTTAGATAGGTTGTAACGATAACGGTATACCACCATTTATTGGAAACTATAAGACCTTTTAGGCCTTTCTCTGAATCGTCTCTTCGCACATCCAAGGGTTGAGATCGTGTAGTGATAATTTTTTTTTGTGCCAACTTACGGCCACAGGACATTACAAACATAAATCCGAAGTGGGCTCGCCAAGCTCACTCGCAGTGGCCCCGGCCAGCTCTTCACTCCAGGCCAGCCATGTGGGTTCCTTTAGTAGGTGATCAAGCCACGGCTACTAAGCCAAACATTCCAATTATGGCAAATATTCCCCTTATGAGGCTATCGTTGGGGGAGGCCTTTGCTTAATAGTAGACTTATAATAGGCTCTAACAATGATGATAATAATAATGACATTATGTATGTAATGTGTGTAGACGTCACGGGTGCTGAACTCGACATTTCGCTATTCGAGGTTCGTCCGTAAACTTCGCGCTGAAGAGGAGGAGCAGCGGAAGGGTGCAGAGAATAAGGCCAAAGAGATGAAAGATCAACAGATCAATGATTTTTTTCTACGCAGTGACCGCAGGTATTCTATGATAATTTGCTAGTTACATTCTTACTCATTAGTAGATATGCGAAATATAATTGAAAATTTTGTACAACCGACTTCAATATAAATTATTAAGAATAACTCAAAAACTATTGGTCAGACCTTGATCAAATTTATATGGCAGCACATGAGAAGCACCATTTTTCAAATAAAAAAAATCATCGAAATCGGATCACCCAGAAAAAAATACACAAAAAATATACTGTCAAATTAAGTACCTCCTCCTTTTTGAAGTCGGTAGAAAAAAATTATGAGGTAACACACATAAAAATACATACTTTCAAATTGAGTACCTTCTCCTTTTTGGAGTCGGTAGAAAATACAGAGTACCAGCGTTTTGTATATCGAGTGTAGAGAACCGAAAAGCCTTTTTACTGAAAACAAGGCATTCTATCTTAATGACAACGCATCTGCTTTTTCTACCGATAGCTTTTGAGATATATTAAAGTCAGTTGTACAAAATTTTTAATTTTAAATTATGATTCTTAATCGAGGATAGAAGAAGATGTCCACAACACACAACGTCCACTTACCATCAGGTGGACTGTGCGCTCGTTTGTCACCGTAAGAAGTGGCGTAATAAATCATCTTTATTCGTTCCATGGGCGATGTGAAGTTGAAATATGACTTCAGCGGTATCAACCATTACCATACCTTTACAGCCTGTAAATGTCCACTGCTGAACCTAGGCCTTCCTCATAGGGAGATTTCGTAAAAGTTGCCACACTTGGCCCGCGGGTTGGCAACTGCAGTTTTTAATTATTTGAATTGTTATTAGGAAGATGCTACTGCCCAACTCCTGGTTCAGTTGCCCTCTGTCGCCTCGCAGGAAGATACGGGATATATATATTCTTACACCGCCACTACACGGTAAAATAAATTTGATCAAGGTCTGACCAATAGTTTTTGAAGTATTCTTAATAATTTATATTGAAGTCGGTAGTACAAAATTTTAAATCATGTTGATTTACAGATCTCTTATCAACGATGTAGCACGTCGCGTCGATCTCTGCATGGCCTCGTACCAAGAAGATCTAAACAAGAAGCGAGATATGTAAGAAGTTGCTTTTGTTTTCTGTATTATTATTAACATATAAATATATAAATACGAAACTTCAGTGAGGATATGGAGAATAGGTTCTTATCTACACTACTATTATAAAGAGGAAAGATTTGTTTGTTTGAATTGAATAGGCTCCGAAACTACTGGACCGATTTGAAAAATTATTTCACCATTAGAATCCTACATTATCCCTGATGAACATAGGCTATATAATATTTTCAAAAAAGTTAGGGATCCGTATGAAAAATTCGTTAATGTAACCCAAGGTGTGAAAAAAATACCAAAAAGAATCCTTATATCGCGTACGCTGCGGAAACTATTGATAATAGAGCAAAGTAATGTACTTCACTTTTATAGAGGATATCAACATCTACAAAAAAGTCTGCGATACCATATGTTTAACTATTACAGTTATGTCACAATAACTACTTTTTCATGTTAAAATGTAAAATAGTAACGCCGGTACAAAATACGCCACATTATTCGTATCAGTACCTGTATCATGCATAACCACCAATTACGTTAACCATGTAATTTTAGTAACATATTTCACTTTTTAAATCTTTGTTAATTCAGCAACCGTCCGTCGTGATGTCTCTCTCGAAGTTCGCATGTCGCAAGGCACAGACGCGTGATATACGCGGGTGAAACCGCGGGGCACAGCTAGTGAATATATATTTTACAATATTGAACGATCTTTATTGTGTAAGTGTCAAGTATTAGAACATCTTTTCATAGCCAGCGGATCTGGTCTAGATGTTTTACTAGGTTCTTAAATGTTATAAAACAAAGTACACTCGTCTTAAAACAGTCCTTGTCGGGTCGCCTCTCGTTGTTCTCAGTAATAACCACCGCCGAACGAACGTGCGTGCGTCTTTCCGTCACCAGATATATCGCTAGTTGGGAATGAGGTGAAGTTTTTGTTATACAATGTCATATACTTTTTTGTTGGTTGATCAATAAATTTTCGGAATGGGTCACTTAAAAAATAGAAATGCGTTCTATTTTTTTTAAATCTCTAATTCGTAAGTAGCTAAGGCCAGAAAAAACTAAATTAAAAACTATTATATTTCAAACTTCACATTTGGATTATTAAATACATATTTGTAACTGATGTTTTTTTTTTTACATAAATTGTTTTTGAAGAACTGTTTGTCTACTTTGGCAGACAATGCTCCGTCTTATTCTACAGCGGCATACTGGTGCGCTGAATTTAACGCGACAGAACCGCCAACAACGGCCGCTACGCAAGAAAACGTTAAAAAGTCGTGTAATTTAGCTTAGATTCTAAAGCTTTCGTTTGGTACAATTCAGTTTATTTTAACTCATACCTTAAAATTCAAAAAGGTGCCGCGAGCTGGATTCCTCGAATGTTAACAGACGCCCAAAAGAAAGCAGCAGTTGACATTTCAAAGCTAAAATAGCAATAATTGATCAAAATTCATATTCTATTCGCGCTTGTTTCGTAACCGTAGATGAAACCTGGGTGTTACGGTCCCCAGTTGCTCCGACAAAGGTCGACTGGGCTAGGGCCCATAGTAGCCCCCTCGACGAGCAACAGAGGGTTCGGGCCCAATGGCCTATGGATTATTATTATAAAACGGCTGACAAGCAAACAAAACTTACCGAGTTCCGGAGGTAGGGTCGGCCACAGGGCACCGTCAGGTGGTAAGTGAGGTGTATGTAAGTAGTGTGTGAAAGTGTGTATAAATGTCACCTGACTTAACCGATGTAGTCGGACAGCAGATCCACAGGCGCTGCTTTTCTCCAAATGTGCGATCCCTCTAGTGGGCGTTTACCAATTGAAACTTTCAACTTTTATTTCACTATATCAGTTTATCAACTTTATTATACATTTAATTAACTTCAAATTTAACTAAATCCACGTTAACCGAAATTAAAACAAGTGACACGCGGCACAACTGAAGAACGTTTGGTGAAAGTTCAATGTTCCATGTTCACTTAGCAACAAATTATAATCGAGCACACGCGATCTCCTCTCGAGTCACAAAGCTTTAGCGTTCTCTCGACAAAGCAAAATTCCTTCGTACGAAATTAAGAGGCCACACAAATAACTCGTCGATGCAAATTAATGGCATAGAAGTTAATTTAAGCACTCAAAACTCAAGATAGGCCTCGGTGTCACGTAACACGCTCAAAACAGACAACTCCATTCTAGGCGGTCTCAACGAGACCCAAATATTCAATAGTAAATTCAAAACGACGCGCACAATTCTGGACACCAGCCGGACCCAACTAACTCAAAATTTAGACCGTCTAAATCAACACCGGCCGCGCGCAACTAACTCAGCGGTCGCAGACAATACTAGTCGACAAGGCCGCGGCGGTCAAGACACTGTTGCCGGCCGGAGCACGAGGAGAAGTATAAAGATACTCCACTGTAAGTGAATTTTATATTATCTTTCTGTAGTTTATTTTATCAGGGTGAAAAGGAAACGTCATTTCATCTATATGAGCTGCGAAGGCATGTAGTAATTCGATGGATACGCTTGCAACGGACCATATGTTTTATGGCATTCTTGAAGGGAGGCCTGTGTGCAGCGGTGAACTTGTAAAAGGCTGTAAATATGACGATATTTAAGGGGGATGTAGAAGTTTCTTCTCAAAATGCCAACCTCATCTGCAAGTAAAGTGACCGCTAAAAAGAACCCCTTTGTCGTATCTCCTCAGTTTCAAGGCACTTCCCTTGTTGCCTCAGCCAGTATCGGAATCAAAACTATTATATTTCAAACTTCACATTTGGATTATTAAATACATATTTGTAACTGATGTTTTTTTTTTTACATAAATTGTTTTTGAAGAACTGTTTGTCTACTTTGGCAGACAATGCTCCGTCTTATTCTACAGCGGCATACTGGTGCGCTGAATTTAACGCGACAGAACCGCCAACAACGGCCGCTACGCAAGAAAACGTTAAAAAGTCGTGTAATTTAGCTTAGATTCTAAAGCTTTCGTTTGGTACAATTCAGTTTATTTTAACTCATACCTTAAAATTCAAAAAGGTGCCGCGAGCTGGATTCCTCGAATGTTAACAGACGCCCAAAAGAAAGCAGCAGTTGACATTTCAAAGCTAAAATAGCAATAATTGATCAAAATTCATATTCTATTCGCGCTTGATTCGTAACCGTAGATGAAACCTGGGTGTTACGGTCCCCAGTTGCTCCGACAAAGGTCGACTGGGCTAGGGCCCATAGTAGCCCCCTCGACGAGCAACAGAGGGTTCGGGCCCAATGGCCTATGGATTATTATTATAAAACGGCTGACAAGCAAACAAAACTTACCGAGTTCCGGAGGTAGGGTCGGCCACAGGGCACCGTCAGGTGGTAAGTGAGGTGTATGTAAGTAGTGTGTGAAAGTGTGTATAAATGTCACCTGACTTAACCGATGTAGTCGGACAGCAGATCCACAGGCGCTGCTTTTCTCCAAATGTGCGATCCCTCTAGTGGGCGTTTACCAATTGAAACTTTCAACTTTTATTTCACTATATCAGTTTATCAACTTTATTATACATTTAATTAACTTCAAATTTAACTAAATCCACGTTAACCGAAATTAAAACAAGTGACACGCGGCACAACTGAAGAACGTTTGGTGAAAGTTCAATGTTCCATGTTCACTTAGCAACAAATTATAATCGAGCACACGCGATCTCCTCTCGAGTCACAAAGCTTTAGCGTTCTCTCGACAAAGCAAAATTCCTTCGTACGAAATTAAGAGGCCACACAAATAACTCGTCGATGCAAATTAATGGCATAGAAGTTAATTTAAGCACTCAAAACTCAAGATAGGCCTCGGTGTCACGTAACACGCTCAAAACAGACAACTCCATTCTAGGCGGTCTCAACGAGACCCAAATATTCAATAGTAAATTCAAAACGACGCGCACAATTCTGGACACCAGCCGGACCCAACTAACTCAAAATTTAGACCGTCTAAATCAACACCGGCCGCGCGCAACTAACTCAGCGGTCGCAGACAATACTAGTCGACAAGGCCGCGGCGGTCAAGACACTGTTGCCGGCCCACGCGGCCGAATGCCGGGAAGCGGCACACGGCCGCCCCCTCCCCGGCGGCGTTGACGTCACTTAAATACCATCGGATGACGCGCCGAGACAAGCGTTTTTGAATGTTTTAGATTAGGCCTAAACACTGGGTACATAATTTTGAACCGGAGACCATAAACCAAAACGAAGTGTGGAACAGACCGTCTTCTACGCTAGCCAAGAGATTCAAGGCGTCTGCGTCCGCTGGTAAAATAATGGCCTCTGTCTTCTGTGATGCGCACGGTATAAATCTAATGATCGACTATTTAAGTAAAGAGGAGACAATAACAACTGCCCGAATAACTAAAGAATAAACGTCAAGGAAAATGCATACTGTAGTGCTTTTTCATCATGATAACGCCCCTGTGCCCATCGATCTGATGTAACAGGTGCTGCTATCCGAACTGCTGGGTTTCACCACCCAACATATTCTCAGAACTTAGCTCTGAGTGATTTTCACCTTTTTACTCACCTGAAAAAGCACTTGCGTGGTATAAAATTCGATGGCGACAATGAGGCGATGTGTGCTGTAGAAGCCTTTTTCGAGTCCCAGGATCAAGCCTTTTCTCCAATGGAATTAACGAACTTGAAAAACGCTATTCAAGATGTATTAGCTTAAAGAGCGATTACGTTGAAAAATAAATACAATTTTCATATACTTATTTTAGAGTTTCATGGCGTTTCCAAAAACATATTGATCAACCAGCAGTTGAAAAGTTGAGTTTTAAATAAAATTTTATCGCTTTCTAGAGTATTAGATAAGTAAATCAAACAAGACCTCAGTGGTTTGCTCCTTATTGTTTTTCACATGTTTAGCTATTTTTTTTTAATTTTGCTAAAATATAACTAATATTACAAAAAGAAACATTAAACTTTACATTTTCATAACAAATTATCTTCACCGCCATGTGATTTGTCAAACATTTCACCTCGTTTCTAAGTGGCGCCGCTCTGGTGGCAAAAAAGTCGTAAAGTCGACTTAGGTACCGAGTGAGTCGTCGAACGATAGGCTTAAAATCAATTTTACTACAGTATTCGTTATTTTTTAATATAAAGTATGCAGCTCTGTTCAGATGGACGTTCAGATTCAGTTCAGGGTGACCATCGGGTATCAATATCGCCACACGGTCCAAGATTGTGTTGCATACGAAAACAACATGCATTTTAAATAACAACATCATTTTTTAGGGTTCCATACCCGATGGGTAACCAACGGGACCCTATTACTAAGCCTCCGCTGTCCGTTCGTCCGTCTGTCTGTCAGCAGATTGCATCTCATGATCCGTAATAGCTAGACACACAGTGCGTATTTTTGTTGCCGCTATAACAATAAATAATAAAAATTAAAATAAATTAGAATTAAAAGGGGCTCCCTTATTAGTAACGTGTATTACGATGGTACGGAACCCAACAAGCGCGAGTCCGACTCGCACTTGGCCGGTTGTATATTCATTAGTAAAATTATGTTCAAATTTTTTTTGTTTGCATTACCCTTTCGGATAGGGTTTTTTGTAACTTATTGTATAGGCTGGTACTTACTTTCTTACATTATTTTAAATGCATTTATATTAGATTGAAAGATCTATTTGCTCGTGAAGAGGAAGAGAACATACGGAAGCTCGTTGAACAAGCGCAAGCTGGAGCAGAGGCGGTTTGGCAAGAGAAGAAGAATAGGCTCCAATATCTGCTCGATAAGAGAAAAAAAGAGCACGAGGAGAAGTATAAAGATACTCCACTGTAAGTGAATTTTATATTATCTTTCTGTAGTTTATTTTATCAGGGTGAAAAGGAAACGTCATTTCATCTATATGAGCTGCGAAGGCATGTAGTAATTCGATGGATACGCTTGCAACGGACCATATGTTTTGTGGCATTCTTGAAGGGAGGCCTGTGTGCAGCGGTGAACTTGTAAAAGGCTGTAAATATGACGATATTTAAGGGGGATGTAGAAGTTTCTTCTCAAAATGCCAACCTCATCTGCAAGTGAAGTGACCGCTAAAAAGAACCCCTTTGTCGTATCTCCTCAGTTTCAAGGCACTTCCCTTGTTGCCTCAGCCAGTATCGGAATCCTCGGCGTTGACATATCGAATGACGTGCAGTTTCATGGTCACTTGGAAGAGAAGGCCAAATTGGCCTTTAAAAACCTTGGTGTGCTCAGCAGAGCGGGACAGTATTTCATGTCGGCACACCGCCTGCAACTTTACAAGGCGCAGGTTCGGCCTCACATGGAATACTGTTCCCATCTCTGGGCTGGGGTTCCCCAGTGCCAGCTCCTTCCACTTGACCGCATCTAGCGCAGAGCGGCTCGAATCGTCGACGACCGAGTCCTTTCCGATCGGCTCGATTCATTGGCGCTGCGAAGAGATGTTGCATCTCTTTGCATTTTCTTTCGCATTTACCACGGGGAGTGCTCTGAGGAATTGTTCAGATTAATCCCAGCCGCCAAATTTCACGAACGCACATCGCGGCAGAACTGCCGATACCATCCACACCATCTGGATGGTTGGCGGTCCACCACTGTGCGATTTAGAAGATGTTTTCTTCCTCGCACAATTTCCTTGTGGAATAGCGATATTTCCGGACCGATACGACTTAGGGACCTTCAAGAAAAGAGCCTACTCCTTTTTAAAAGGCCGGCAACGCATCTGCAATTCCCTTCCCCTGGTGTTGCGGTTGTTCATGGGCGGCGGTAGTCACTTACCATCAGGTGAGCCGCATGCTCGTTTGCCCCCTTTCCTATAAAAAAAGTGACCGAAAAAAAGCGGCATACCCATTCCAAAAATGACTCCAGTGTTGCTCGCCCGTAATTTATGTATATTTTATTCATATAACTAGCTGTGCCCGCGGCGTAGCTCGCGTATATAGATTTTACATAAAGAATTTGTCGTTTAGGTAAGAGAATATTAAACGATTTATATCATTACTGTATCAATAAGTGGTAATAAATAAATCATTATCATCAAAGTTCTAAGTAGTTTATGATAGAGCTTCGGTGTAAACGACGTTAGAAGTAGGCTTAGCCGGGGTGTACACAAAAAGGTTACGGGGGCTACTAACGCGGGAAAAAGCAACATAGAGTTGGCCATGTGCAAAACAGTCAGTACTGAGGTCCACTCTTACAACGCGTAAATTTTGACCTTGCACTTTATTTACGGTCATCGCATAACACACGCTGACTGTAACTGGGAACTGAACACGCTTAAAAGTGAAGGGAAAGTTACTTCTTAATAGAGGGTTTTTTGGCAGTGCTGCCAGATCAAAAAAACTCATTCAGCGCTAGGACAACACAAAAAGCGCTAGATTTCATGAAAACAGCGCTTTAAAAAAGCCCTAGATTTTGCGCTAAATTAACTACAAACAAAGTTTGTGTTTTTTATTATAATTTATAATTCAAGAAAATATAATCATAATAAAGAAAACAACATTAAGTTTTTTTCTGGCAATATTTTTTGATGTATCAATACTTCGCAGGACATCGACTTATAATTATGGCAATTGCTGTCAACAGTAGTTAGTACTACTCTAAGTAACTTTTAACTTAGCTGTGCTCTAAACAACTGACTAAAACTGAATAAAGCAAAATAAATGCGTTGCCAAAACCATGAACGAAAACTTTAATGAAGGGGATTTCCCCGCTTATAGTCGTCGATAAAAAAAATCCAGTTGATCATCCTAAAGGGGAAGCCGGGAGATCCATAGCACAGGGTATCCTAGTTTGGACTCGTCTCCCATGCTCTTTGTTTTGTGGAAAAAATATGTTTGAAAAAGATAAACTGCAATGTACTATTTGTGGAAAAAAATAATAAAGGTCATTATTATTATTATCGCTAATGTGGACTAACAGTGCTGCTATAAAAGAGTTAATAACCCGCTAGTCGCTACAATTTTGAAATTTGTGCTAAATACACCAAAAAGCGCTGGATTAAGTGCTAGGTGCTAAAATTTCGAAATGCGCGCTATACATTCCAAAAAAGCGCTAAATCTAGTTCCCAAAGCGCTAAAATGGCAGTACTGATTTTGCGTATATTATAAATACAATATCACGACATTTCGTTGCAATTTTGTTATTTTTGTTCGGGTTCCGTTGTATGGCTTCGATAGATACTAATTTCTTCAGTAAGTCTCAATACGATTCATCGGCGAAAAATCTCAACACAGCAAATCAGAAAAGTTTGTAATTTGTATAACTCCATCTATTACGTCCTTTGTGTGAGAAAACATCCTTTTTTAAGTCTCTTTTTATGTTTTAAGTATAAATATATTAATTATTATGGAACGTTTTTTTTACACACAAATCATTTTATTACTATTTTTGTGATTTTTATGGCGCCATTGAACAAATTCGAACCTACATTTTAAAATAATAATCATTACTTTCGATAGAATTAACCAATTTTAATAAAACAAAGATTAAATGTAACTTGAAGATACGCTTTATGATTTTCTTAACGATTTCTTTGAAAAAAAAAGATGTTTACTTTAGACGTGATGCATTCATATAAAAACAGACAAACAGACAGACAGACAATTATAAAAATGTACTTATTTAATTATTTTTAGTTCCCCATAATGATTTTAGTCACCAAAATAAATATACAATGTACAGAAAGAGACACAACATGTTATCATCATTTTTATTATATGTATATATTTAATTGAAGAGAGATGGCGCTGCTAACATCAACTTGATGACTCAAACAAAGCCACCGTTGAGCAAATTCCCTACCCATACTTCAGAATATTTATCATAACTTTTGATGGAATGAACCGATTTTAATGAAATAAAGACTAAATGTAACCCGAAGATACACTTTATAATTTCCTTAACAATTCTTATGATATAAATTAGTACTTTAAACGTGATACGTTAACAAACAAACAGACAGACAGACAGACAGACAGAAAATTCTAAAAATGGTAGAAATGTATTTAATTACTTATTTTTAGTACCCCTCAATCACTTTTATTACAAAAATATAAAATGTACAGACATCTGCTATTTTCAGTTTTATTATATGTATAGATTAATGAAATAAATAAATAAATATGTAAAGGTTTATGGAAAGAAGAAGAAGAAATATAATTATATTTATTTATCATGCTGCAGCTATATTAATAGTATAGTTGTAGCATGAATGGGTCGGCTCGACCGGGGAAGGACCACGCTCTCACAGAATACCAGCGTAAAATAGCAACTTAAAGCGTCTGTGTTTTGTATGTTGAGTGTAGAGAACCGGAGACCCTTATTATTGGAAATGAGGCGTTCCATCTTAGTCCTCACGTGTGACAACGAATCTGCACTTTGTTTGATGTAGATGTATATGGGCCACAGCAACCATTTACAATCAGGTGGACTGTGTGCTCGTTTGTCACCCTTATCCTATAAACAAAATTATCATCATCACCATTAGATACAACACATCAAAAGTCTAGCTGAAGTCATAGGCCGCCCGCTGAGATTGCTACGTACTACGGATTTGAGCTTTCACCAGAAAGAAGTATATTCATTCATTCATACCAAGGAATGTAATTCTAATTAACCAGATACCTGGACTTTGAATGAAACTAGTTTCTAGAACTACTTTTTGCCTGGGTGTCTGTCTGGGTAGGAACCACCCTCTTTACCTATTTACTTAGGTACTTACTGCAGCCAAGCCGCAGTACATGCATTGCTGTGTTTCAATTTATAAGCCTCAGAGACCCTTGGTCCATTTTTAGTGCTCTGAGTTGTCAACGCATTTGTATCCTCGTTTGTTTAAAGTTTGTTGCAGATGTCCATGGGCTGCAGTAGTCACATAGGTGCTATCTGGTGGGCTGTGAGTTCGTTTCTCACTTTTTTTATAACACACAGTTTTATAAAAAAGGTGGCGGTTCCTGGCGCAGTGGCTTAGCAATGAGTTGCAGCGCTGGGGGACGCGGGTTCGAATCCCGCATGAAACAAGTATTTGTATCGCCTATAAATAATTGTTCCGGGTCTGGATGTTTGTCCTTGTGCAATTTATGTTTGTAAACTGCCTCCACAATACAGGAGAAGATTCTAGTGTGGGGTAACGCTTTTTTTAAAATGAAATGAATTATATTGTCTGATAGGTCCAAATGCGTTCATGTTTTGCCGTGCATTTACAAGATGCGAGCTAAGGAAGCGCAGGAGGTCCAGTTGTACCAGATGAAAGAGAAGCAAGCGCGCAAGATGGCGGAAATGGAGTTCGACAAAATGTGGCACGAGGTGGCCATGAAGGAGGCTGACGCTTTGGTAAGTGGCACAGATCCCAAAAATAAAAGGCCGGTTATTCTCAGGACGGAGATGTTACCCTAACCACTGGTTAGGATAACATTTTAATAATAACTATTTATAAACTACATTGAAAAAATTTTTGTAGATATTACTTTTTTATAGGAGATGGGGCAAATGAGCATACGGCTCACCTGATGGTAAGACACTACTGCCGCCCATGAACAACTGCAACACCGGCAAATTGCAGGTGCTTTGCCGGCCTTCAAATTCTATTCTACCGTTAAAACGTTAACGTGGTAGAGCCATGCTAGAGCTATATTAATAGTAGAGTTGTAGCACGAACGGGTGGGGTCGACCGAGAAAGGACCACGCTCTCACAGAATACCAGCGAAAAATAGCAGCTTAATGCTGCTGTGTTTCGTATGGTGAGCGTAGAGAACCAGGGGGTGACAACGCATCTACATTTTGTTTCTTAATCGAGGATTCATTTAGATGTCTATGGGTCATAGTATCCTCTTACCGTCATGTGGACTGTGTGCTCGTTTGTCACCCTTATTCTACGAAAAAAAATTACCTATATAAATATATCGGCATCGGGAACTCAATAGTCAGGTGCCACACCAAAATGGTGGACGATACTAAATGTGGCCTTCTAAGGAAATGAGAAATCTCTCCGGCCGGTTGTTTAACCTGACTTAGCGACCAACTCTTAGTTATGTTACGGAGTTTGTATATTAAGTATTTAATATTGAGGAGTAGAAACTTGAAGTCGAGAGAGTTCTGAATTAGTACGATTTAAGCCACGGCTCCTAAGGAATAGATAAGGACAGCATTTCCTGATATAATACGACACATAGTGACGCCATTTTTCCATTTGCCCTTTTATAGACAGCACGAATGGAGTATGACGCTATTGAACGCTTCCGGAAGGACAGAGAGTGCAAAGAGTACTCAGATTACCAACTGGAGCAGAGACGTATTCAAAGGGAGAAGGAGAGAGAGATGTTGAAACAGGAGACATTGAGGTTTATGTCCATGTGGGAAGAGGACAAGAGAAAGGAAGAAGAAGGTTTGTAATATTAATAGTCAATACTCACTAGATCAGCCGTGCATTGAAATTGTATGGGAGCGTCTAAATCAGATACAAATACACAGTAATTAGTAATTAACTTTACAAGGCGAAGGTTCAGCCTCACATGGAATACCTTCTTTCTCGACCGAGTTCTTTCCGATCGGCTTGACTCACTGACACTGCGTAGAGATGTTGCATCTATTTGCGTATTTTATCTCATCTATCACGGGGAGTGCTCTGAGAAATTGTTCGGACTAATTCCAACCGCTCAATTTCACCATCGCACATCGCGACATAACTCGCGATACCATCCATACCATCTGGATGCTTGGCGGTCCACCATTGTGCGATTTAGAAGAAGTATTCTTCCTCGCACAACTTGCTTGTGGAATCGATTACCTCCAGCGATTTTTCCGGACCGATACGACTTGGGACCTTCAAGAAAAGAGCCTACTCCTTTTTAAAAGGCCGGCAACGCATCTGCAATTCCCCTGGTGTTGCGGTTGTTCATGGGCGGCGGTAGTCACTTACCATCAGGTGAGCCGCACGCTCGTTTGCCCCCTCCTATAAAAAAAATAAGTCTTTTGGTAACTGTGAAATATCGTAACCCTACTTTTACACCGAAAAACATTCAACATAACATAATGTTTTGAAACATATCGCATAAAATAAGTCACACAACATATTTTGTCGATGTCGCGTTCGCACTCACAGAAATTGTGTAAAATTTTTCACAGATTTTAAGATGTGTTGTTGTCTATTTTTATTTTAGTTCGCATTGAGTACAACATAGACATTCTATTTGTTTATCTAAAGATCTGTGAACTTAGCGTTCGCACTCTTGTTTTTTATGTTTCGCGATTTGTTTTAAAACATTTTTTTTGTTATCCAATTTAGTTGTTAAACATCACAAAACAATATTACTTCTAGCGGAGAAGATCGATACCTTCGTATAAAAATAAATTGTGATATATACCCACTAACTCCATCGATAGTTAGACTACCTGCAACTCTCTCTCGCGGGGAACAGCTAGTATTTAAATAAAGAAACAAAATATTGGGCTTATATTTTAACCAAGATATTCGAAAATACTTAATCCTTCACCTTTAACACCTCGTCAATATCATCATCATCATTACAGCCCTTCACAAGTCCACTGCTGAACATAGGCCTCTCCCAAAGAATGCCACAAAGCACGGTCCTGAACCACCTGCATCCATCGACTTCCTGCATATCTTACCAGGTCGTCACTCCATCTAGTGGGGGGACGCCCTACACTTCGCCTGCCGGTACGAGGCTGCCACTCGAGAACCTTTCTTCCCCATCGGTTGTTGGTTCTTCGAGCTATATGGCCGGCCTATTGCCACTTCAGCTTACTAATCCGTTGGGCTATGTCGGTCACTCTGGTTCTACTGCGGATATCCTCATTTCTGAGTTTATCAAGCAGAGAAACTCCGAGCATAGCCCTCTCCATAGCTCGCTGAGCGACCTTGAGCTTCCTCATCCGGCCAGCAGTGAAGGACCACGTCTCAGTTCCGTATGTCATCACTGGCAACACGCACTGGGTGTACATTCTCGTTTTCAAGTTTTGAGGTATACCTGACGAGAAAATGTGCCGTAATTTCCCGAAAGCTGCCCAACCGAGTTGAATCCGTCGATTGACCTCTCGGTCGAAGTTGGACTTACCTAGTGGGACTATATGTCCCAGGTAAACATACTCGTCAACAACTTCGAGCTTAGTGTTCCCAACAACTACCGGCATAGGTGTGACATGGACATTAAACATGATCTTTGTTTTGTCCATGTTCATCTTAAGACCTATCCGTTGGGAAACACTATTGAGGTCATTGAGCATAGTGCTTAGGTCCTCCAGCGATTCTGCCATAAGGACTATATCGTCGGCAAATCGAAGGTGAGTGATGTACTCGCCATTGATGTTGATACCGTATCCTTTCCAGTCCAGAAGCTTGAAAACATCTTCCAATGCAGCGGTAAAGAGTTTCGGGGATATGACGTCACCCTGTCTTACACCTCTCTGCAATTGGATAGGTTTCGTATTCTGGTTCTGTACTCGGATAGCCATCGTAGCCCTACTGTACAAGCACTTCAACACTTCAATATACCGACAGTCGTCAATATAAGAGAGTTTTATTAAACTTACTTTCGACACTTTGTGGAATTCCATCTAAAGTTTTCGAGTCGTGGTATAGCTCAATGTATTTTATTGCTTTATCAATCTATAAAAGTCCACGGTTGGGCATTGCATTTCTCGTTATAGGGATGAGAATACAATAGATTCCTGCATGCCTTCAACTTTATAGCGTACCTAATTCATTAGTTTTTACTATTTTTAGGGTTCCGTACCTGAAGGGTAACGAACGGGACCGTATTACTAAGACTCCGCTGTCCGTCCGTCTGTTTATCAGCGGGCTGTATCTCATGGTCCGTAATAGTTAGACAGTTGAAATTTTCACAGTATGTGTATTTCTGTAGCCGCTATAACAAAAAATAAAGAAAAAATTAAAGGGGTGTCCTCTACTAGAGACGTGTTTTTTACCTACATAGTATTAAATCTTGTGTAATGGTATGGAAACCTTCGAAAAGTCCGACTCGCTAGTGTATAAAAAAAACCACCCAAGTGTAGTCTTTTTTTTTATACAGAATGAGGATGACAAACGATTATAAAGTCCACCAGGTAAGTAGATGTTGTAGTGCATTTACATTTATTCTCGATTAAGAATCCAAATTCAGAAAGCGTTGTTATCCCTGACAACTGGGATTGAATGCCTGGTTTCTTAAAGTTTACGAATAGTGTGAAATAAAACTTTAATAACACATATATTTTCTAGACGAACAAATGCGAAAAGAGAAAACAATAGAAATAGCAGAGGAACGTAAGAAAATGATTGAGGAGAAACAAGAGATGCTCGCGAAGCAGCAAGCAGAGGAGAAGTTAGTTTCAGATGCGTGGGACTCCCTCGCTGGGCAAGGGCTTGCAGATGAAAAGGCAATGATCGAATTAAGAAAGAGAAAAGAGGTTAAGGAATAAGTATAAATCTATCGAATTTTGTCTATACTTTTATTATTGTAATGTAAAGAGCTCCACACCGAATTTCGGTCATGGCGGTCAGTCTCATTGGAGACTAGCCTTTTGCGCAGTACAGTATTATAGTGCCCGAGTGTATGCGCAAGCACAGGTGCACTCTCTATCCCTCACTTTCATATTCCGATGGAACAGCAAGCTGCCACGACCGGACAGAGAACAGTCGCAGGACCAACGACATGCTTTCCGAAGCAAGGGGTCGAAACATTGCCAACTCTCTGACTCCGGGTTATTACTGGGAATTTATTAACAGAAAAACCCAATAACTGATTTTTGTTGGTCCGACCCGCGATTCGAACCCGGGATTACCTCGTGATCGCAGTCGCATTTACAACCACAGGTCCAACGAGGCACTTCTATATTATATCAATTCTTAAACGTTCATAATCTGATGCGGTAGCTGTCGCAAGGGAAAGTGCCGGTATTGTGAGGTTCTGCTTTTCCTACCTTCCGCGCCCGAGGCTTGGTTGGCGGCGGAGCCACGCACCAGATCCGCCGCTGGTGTTAGGAAGGCTGATGCCGAGTGTATCGGACTCGGGAGTCCGTGGAGGGAGCCGCTCCTTGTGTTCTGGTGCACACCAGAGATCACATCACTGATCACGCACGTGAGATCTGAGAGAGAGAATGGAGTTGTGTTGTCCTACCTCGAGGAGGGGCCGACGCTGTTGGTGTTGGCGAGGGTGGAACACTTTGGGATTTGAGTCGGTACGAGTCCGACATAATCCGTCCTTGCGCTTATGTATGTTATGTCATGTGCATAGGTATTTCATTTTATAAAAAGGTGCCTACGTACTGACCACTTAAAGAAATGAATGACCACTTTTTCTGCCACCAGGGCGGCTCCACTTTACAGTGAGGTAAAATATTTGACAGATTTCATAACGGAGACGATAATTTCTTAGGAAAATGTAATCTTTAAGGTTTCTTTCTGTATTATTGGTTATATTTTATATTAATTACATAATAAACCAAACTATAAATATAACTGAAAGTCTATTTAAAAAAAAAGAGTTATAAAGTGCAAAAAATTAAAAATCAAACCACTGACGCATTGTGTTGTGTATTAATACAATACTCTAGATAATGATAAACCATTATTTAAAACTAATTTCTCAATTAACTGACATTGTGTAACAAAAAATTTTTACCTCAGTCACAACTAGCGACATCTGGTGAGTGAAGAATATTAGCCCTCATTGTTTCACTAGGTTGTAAGACTTCTTTAGTGTCTAAGTATTCGTCTAGGTAGGTACCACCTACCTACTTATTTCTACCACCAAATAACAGTGGTCGCACTGCTTTTTTTTATAGGATAGGGTGACAAACGAGCACACAGTCCACCTGATGGTAAGTGGTTGCTGTGGCTCATAGACATCTACATCTATCCTCAATAAAGAATCAAAATGCAGATGCGTTGTCACTCGTGAGGACTAAGATGGAATGCCTCTTTTCCAGTAAAAAGGGTATCCGGTTCTCTACACTCACCATACGAAACACAGCAGTGTTAAGCTGCTAGTTTACGCTGGTGTTCTGTGAGTGCGTGGTCCTTCCCCGGCGAGCCGACCCATTCGTGCTACAACTATACTATTAATATAGCTGCAGCATGGCTCTACCACGGACTGCTGTATTCTAATCTAAAGGAGAGCAAGTATATTTACAGCTTGTGAGGTATTCTTTTATTATCTGTTAATTTCCATACATCTTTGTCCTTAGAAGGGACAAGTCATCAGTAGCATGCCTTATTATAACTTAGCTACAAGTGTCAATGGACTGCAGTATCCCTTTTACATTTTATATTTTATACGTGATAGAGCCATGCTGCAGCTATATTAGTAGTATAGTTGTTCGCTCTCACAGAATATCAGCGTAAAATAACAGTTTAACGCTGCTGTGTTTCGTATGGTGAGTGAAGAGAACCGGAGGCCGTTTTTACTGGAAAAGAGGCATTCCATCTTAGTCCTCACGGGTGACAACGCATCTGCATTTTGATTATTTATTGAGGATAGATGTAGATGTCTATGGGCCACAGCAACCACTTACCTGATGGTATGTGGTTGCTGTGACCCATAGACATCTTTATCTACTTATCCTGATCCACCTGATGGTGGACTGTGAGCTCGTTTGTCACCCTATCCTATAAAAAAAAGCCATTTTCTGTGGGACTGTTTTGGAATTTGTTTGTCTCTACAGTTTTGCATAGCTGTAGGCTCTTTTATCCCTATTACTTTGATATAAAGACATGTGAGACCAATACATTTCCATGCAATCACTTTAAATTATCATCTTATTTCTAGAAAGAACTAGATGAATGCAACAAGAAGCTTATAGAGCTAAAGAAGCAGATGACGGAGATGGAAGCTCAAGATGATGTATACAGAAGAGAGCAAGCGCAGCGGTCCCAAGATGTAATGGATCGAACCCGATGCGAATATTTAAAATGGTCTCGAAGGACCAACGAGGTAGGGAGATGTTGCCATTTATGATTAACTTTACATTCGATTGATAATGGTGCCCTTTTTGCCCTATAAATTATTTAAAAAAATGATTTTACTGAGTGAGAGTTCCTTTAGTGGGAGAAATATTTATTTACACCTCACTTATATTAATTCAAATAACATTTATTTACATAACATAATATACAATATTTTAATATATACAATATTAAAAACTATAATAAAAAACAAAACTAAAGCTAGTAACTTAATTATCATACAGTCCTACTCCTCGCGGTATCGTGCCAACGATGGCTGCGTTTCCCCGCTAAATGGCTATACTTAGCCTTTGAGCAAGTAAAGCACAAAGCCCTCTTTATCATCAGCAGTAACGACCAGTCGCGGATGGAGTTCCTTTAGGAACTTCACGCACGTGAATTAATTTATCTCGCTCCATATTGTATATTTTCAATCGTTCCGTACTATATAGCATTTTACTGTAATAGTGTGTATAATATAACAAAGTGCAAATTAGTGGCCTTCCCATGGCTTCGGTACCAAATATTTTTTATTTTATAGACGTGCAACGCGTTGGACACGTTGTAAATTGGCACTTAAAATTTAAGATTTTGCGAACGGAATTTGAATGCAATGCAAAAGTTACAGCCTATATATGTCCCACTGCTGGGCATAGGCCTCCTCTCATTTCTGAAAGGGTTTTAGGGCAAGGAAGTGTCTGCCGCGCTGCCCCAATGCGGTGTTGGCGGACTTCGAAATATTTTTTTTCTCAGTCATGCAGGTTTCCTCATGATATTTCGCTTCAACGCCGAGCACGTGGTAAATCAGCATTGTGCAGCACTGTGATATCAGTGTGCTTACGCATGAATATAATATAAATTTATAAATAAATATTCACAAGTTAGTTGTCTCAAACCACCACTTGAGAGAATCCACTACCCCATATCATACCTTGGGTGTCGCAAGAAGCGACCGAGGGAAACGAAACAAGAGATTTTGTACGTGGTAGAGCCATGCTGCAACAATATTAGTAGCATAGTTGTAGCACGAATGGATCGGCTCGACCGGGAAAGGACCACGCTCTCACAGAGTACCAGCGTAAAGTAGCAGCTTAATACTGCTGTGTTTCGTATGGTGAATGTAGAGAACCGGAGACCCTTTTTACTGGAAAAGAGGCATTCCGTCTTAGTCCTCACGGGTGACAACGCATCTGCATTTTAATTCCCAAACGAACATAGATGTAGATGTCTATGGGCCACACCAACCACTTACCATCAGGAGGACTGTGTGCTCGTTTGTCACCCTTATTCTATAAAAAAAATAAGCAAGCAGCAATAACGAGTATAAAAAATAAAATAATTAAAAATTAGAAATTTTCTACTACCGACTTCAATATAAATGATTAAGAATAACTCAAAAACTATTGGTCAGACCCTGATCAAATTTATATGGAACCAACTGAGAAGCACCAGCTTTCAAATAAAAAAAGAATCATCGAAATTGGTTCACCCAGAAAAAAGTTATGAGGTGAGTCGCATTGAGTACCGTCTACTTTTTGAAGTCGGTAGAAAACTACGGTTGCTATCCTGCCTGCTAATCTTGGCTAGTATGGCAAAAACCATTATTACACGATATATGAGAAAGGCTAATGGTCAGCAGTATACTTTTAATCGGCTATGTTATCTAATGAATGAATCATCCATTTCTCACACCAAAAGGAAGTTCGTCAAGCAATGAAAGATCAGATCATAGAGCGTCAGCAGGCCAAGGAACTACTGAAAAAGAAAATGGCAGAAGAAAACGAATACTACAGACAGCTGTCCGAACAACTAAAACAACTGGCGGAACACAAAAAGAAGGTTGATGCTGAGGCAAAGAAGCAACATCAGAGGAACTTACTGGAACAGATGGAGTATAACAATTTATTGAAGGTAATATAAATAAGGTATTATAAATGAAATTGTATACTTGGGGAGTGCTTTTAGCCGGGATGGAAGATGTGATTTAGATGTGGACAGGCGTGTCGCTGCCGGGAACAAAGTCAATGGTGCCCTGACTGCGTTAGTCAAAAGGCAAGGCGTAGCGAAGAGTGCACGCCTTGCAATACATAACGCAGTGTTGGTACCGACTTTGTTATATGGCAGCGAAACCTGGGTATGCCAGAAGAAGCATAAAAGTAAGTTGAATGCAGTGGAGATGCGATCTCTTCGTAAAATGTGCGGCGTTACTATGGCCGACCGAAAGCGAAACGAAGAGATTCGCAATATGGCAGGTTTGAAAGATGACCTTATCACAAAAATTGATAAGGGCGTGCTTCGGTGGTTTGGGCACGTTGAGCGAATGAGTGAAGACCGAATGGTGAAGAAAATATATAGCGCGAAAGTTAATATTAAAAGGTGTCGAGGTAGACCGAGACTAACTTTCGAAGACCATGTGAGCAAATTGCTCGAAGAGGGTAGGGTCAAGAGTACTCGGATACCTAGACGTGCATGTATGAAGAAGATAATGAATCTGAAAGAGGCGAAAGAGATATGTAAGGATCGTGACACTTGGCGATCTGTTCTCTCTGGCTACCCCGTCAGGGATTGTGCGTGAAGATAAGTAAGTTAAGTTTTTAAGTATTGAAGGTAATTTTTAATTAAAATGGAATATAGACTTTAAGAAAGTAGGTTTATTAAAATTATACTAAGTTTTTTTTTAATAAGATAAGGCTGACAAACGAGCGCACGGTGCACCGAATGTTAAGTGGTTGCTGCGGCCCATAGACATCTACATAGATGATAGATGCGTTGTCACCTGTGAGGACTAAGATGGGATACCTCATTTCCAGTAAAAATGGTCTCCGGTTCTCTACACTCAACATACAAAACACAGACGCTTTAAGTTGCTATTTTACGCTGGTATTCTGTGAGAGCTTGGTCCTTCCCCGGTCGAGTCGATCCATTCGTGCTACAACTATACTACTAATATAGCTGCAGCATGGCTCTACCACCTGTAAAGATATATATCTGTAGTATAGGTATAAAGATATATGTGTGTGTATATATCTGTAGTTAAAAAAGTTAAAATTACAGCCTATATACGTCCCACAGCTAGGCACAGGCTTCCTCTCACTTCTGAGAGGGTTTATATGGTGAGCGGGTAAACGGCTGAGAGGATAAGCCATGGTAGCTCAGAGGCGAGTAACCCGGGTTCGATCGCCACCGGCATTTTGTAGTTAAGATAGCACAATATATTCGTTCAGTCACCAATATTTTGTGGCCTTCAAGAAAACACACATTTGACGCAATACACATACGACATGGACCATGTGTAAGTGATATTGGTATTTAAAGATTGTAGTGTACCCACCTATCATCTCCAGAACAATTAAATGTTTTATAATACACTAGCAACCTGTCCCAGCTTCATCAAAGACCGCTTATTTTATCAATTTGAGATTTATTAAAAAAATTACCCCCCCCCCCCCACCCCCCAAGTTGTTTTTGATAAAATGTAGCCTATATCAATATCACTCACTTGCTCTTTATCTGTTTGTCAAATTTAACAATCGGTTTAGCCATCCCGAATATTAGCTCGGACAGACAGACAAAACATTTTGAAAATACTCACACCCTCAGCTCAAAAGCTGTTATTGATATTACAGATAGACACTTCTATTTTATTTATACGTTTATGTAATGCATAATTTGTATATTTTTTTAATTTTCCCAAAAATTTTAAAGGAGCGAGCACGACAAGAAGAACTCGATCAAATAAAGAAATACCGGATCGCTACAGAAGAATACGAGCAAGAGATGAACAAGATGCTGTGCCGGTAAGTTGCGAAGTACTTAGCGAAACACATTTTGAATGAAATTCTGTTTTATTAAATCAGGTAATAACACACACAGACTCACACATACACGCGCACACACACACACACATACACACACACACACACACTCCAACACACGCGCGCGCGCACACACATAGTAAATCTAAAATCATTTGCAAGTAACAACATGGTTTTAGGTGTGTGGGTGCGTGCAGCAGTGAACTTTTACGAGGAGATAAAAATGAAAGAAGAAACATGTGTGTAGTGTTTACACATATGTATTGTTACGAGCTTTGGGTTCGAGACAATTAAAAACTGCCGATTGAGTTACCAAAATTGACACTTTAATTACAGAGCACTAATTACAACTTAAACCACACTAATAATAAAACACAATTGTACTACTGATCACTTTAGTTCGCAGTTATATCGCTTCGAAGTATTCGCTTATACCGTCAATTCAATACTGACTCGGTCGTGGTCTATACCGGCCTTATATAGGGCCTCAGATAGTTTCCAGGACCTTTTACTGTACAAACATCTAGAATATTCGAGTACATCTCGGTCCCGAAATTTCTAGAAGGATCTCGACTCTCCTAGTTCTGCTACTCGACACTAGAGGGCGCTAGTGGTAACTAGTGTTGCCATGTACAAGACATTAATAGTGGCGCGCAACAGTATCTAACACAATTTGCAACTAACAACATGGTTCTAGGTGCATATGTACTCGTCGAGCAGTATGACTTTACGGGCTATTAAATAAAAAAGGAAGATGTGTGCGTGCGTGTCAAGAATTTAAGCATGGTTTCAGCGTAACTTGAAATGAACGCAGCGCTCTGTCTATCTCTCTTTGTTGGTGTGAGACTCGGAATGACTTTTCTAGTCTACCGCATAACATAAGGCTTACAATAGCAGAAGAAAGTAAGTATACCTTGTAGTGGCGGTGTAAGAATATCCTCCACCCCATATCGCCCCGTGGATGTCGTAAGAGGGGACAGAGGGAAACAAAACAAGAGATGGGCAGCAGCGTCTTTCTACTAACAGCTTAATAATAAAAAAATACCAGGTCGGCCAAATGGTAAATATCCCTAGGCATAGCATTCTTTGGGGGTCCGATACGGCTTAGGGACCTTCAAGAAAAGAGCTTACACCTTTCTAAAAGGCTGGCAACGCATCTGCATTCCCCTGGTGTTGCGGTTGTTCACGGGGGGCGGTAGTCACTTACCATCAGGTGAGCCGTATGCTCGTTTGCCACCTCTTCTATAAAAATAAAAAATAAAGCGTTTGTTAAAATGATTAACATAAAGAAATACGGCTTCATGGCGCAGTGGCTTAGCAACGGGTTGCTGCGCTAAGGGCCGCGGGTTCGAATCCCGCACGGAACAAGTATTTGTATGGCCTACAAATAAATGTTCTGGGTCTGGTTGTTTGTCCTTGTGAAATTTATGTATGTAAACTGCCTCCATAATACAGGACTAAATCCTAGTGTGGAGGTAAAGTTTTTTTTTAAAAAAATTATATGTATGGGTAGGTATCTAGTATTTGCTTATTATATTGATATCATTAAATTCAAACAAGGGTCCGTTTTTCTACCGACTTCAAAAAGGAGGATGTACTCAATTCGACTGTATGTTTTTTTTTAAATATGTGAGTGTATATGAGGTAACATAACTTTTTTTCTGGGTGAACCGATTTCGATGATTCTTTTTTTATTTGAGAGCTGGTGATTCTCATGTGGTCCCGTATAAATTTGATCAAGGTCTGACCAATAGTTTTTGAGTTGTTCTTAATAATTTTATATTGAAGTCGGCTGGACAAAATTTTTAATTTTTAATTATTTTAAAATAATATCCCTTGAAACTGAATTTGGTTAACGGCGGCCTGCCTCAACGGAGACTAACCAGATGGCGAGTCTGTATTTTATTCTGCTCTACTAACTTCAAAAATGAGGATGTACTCAATTCGACTGTATGCTTTTTATGTGTGTTACCTCATAACTTTTTTCTGTTTGACCGATTTCGATGATTCTTTTTTTATTTTAAAGCTGATGCTTCTCAGGTGGTCCCATATAAATCAAGGTCTGACCAATAGTTTTTGAGTTATTTTTAATAATTTATATTGAAGTCGGTTGTACAATTTTTTTTAATTTTAAATTACTTTATATAAATAAAAACTGAATTTCGTTCACGGCGTGGCGACCTCAACGGAGACTTTGCGATGGCGAGTCTGTATTTTATTCTTTTTATTTCATTGAAGACGACTTTTGCTTTTTTTATTGTGATTTTGTACCCTTATGAGTGGACTAAAGAATATTACAATCTGAATGTCTTCTAAATAATTACATTAAAACTTGATCCCATATTTGGGGGTGGAAATTTTTTATAAAAATATATACAGTAAAACTCGCCTAAGACCATTTAGAAGGGACCCAGCCAATATCATTCAGGCTAAGTTGCTTGCCATGCCGCTGCAATGTTTAAGATCGTATCGTGCACCGTCAAGAGTCGTTTTCTATCAGGGTCTTCCATTTCTTTAAGATAGCGATGTATCACTCGTGTTCTGTAGCCTTTTTTAAGGACTTTTATAATGCCCTGATCCATCGGTTGCAACTTACTTGTCGCATTCGAAGGTAAGAAAACAAAATTAATGTTCTTTAGGTCAACATCTTTAGTGTGAGCAGTTGAGAAAATTGATGATGAAGAAAATTTATTCGTGCTACTCGGCTAGGCTCGAGTGTTGCGCTGCCGTATTGGACGGAATGAAGAATCCTATTTTAAGTGTGTTAAAAATGTATGAAAACATGTTGCATGGACTGATATAACATTTTATATATTATTAAACGTGATCGGATTAAGCGAGTTTTACTGTATATGGTACCCCCGGAAATGTAACCTATTTAATAAAAAAAGAACCATCCAAATCGATTCACGATTTTCCCAGAAACTAAACGGAGGAACAGGTTTCAAGTTAAAACTAACACCGAAAAGGTCTATGGTCACAAGCAGGTGTAGTGTAGAGCACTGGAGACACTTTTTCCATCTTAGTCATCCACAAGTGACAACGCATCTGTATTTTGATTCTTAATCGAGGACCGTAGCTGTCTACGGGCCACAACATTCACTTTGCATCGTGTAAATTTTTTGTTTGTTATACATAATCTATAAATACATACAATATATTATACGTGGTAGAGCCATGCTGCAGCTACATTTGTAGTTTACTTGTAGCACAAATGGGTCGGCTAGACCGGGGAAGGACCACGCTCTTACAGAATACCAGCGTAAAATAGCAGCTTGACACTGCTGTGTTTCTTATGGTGAGTGTAGAGAACCGGAGACCCATTTTACTGGAAAAGAGGCATTCCATCTTGGTCCTCACGGGTGACGACGCATTTGTATTTTGATTCTTTATTGAGGATTAATGTAGATGTCTATGGGTCACAGCAACCACTTACCATCAGGTGGGCTGTGTGCTCGTTTGTCACCCTATCCTATAAAAAATCTATATGTAATATATTACACTCCAGCATCTCTTTATAATCAAAATTAATTATAAAGAGGTGCTGAAGTGACCATAGGCCACAGCATCCACTTACAGTCAGGTGGACTGTGCGCTCCAACATTAGCATATTATGCAATATTTCTATTAGATTACAACGTCTTATAATTAATAAGAACAATTGAAAACCGTGATAGAGTTTAATTGTCTCATACTTGCAATGGATACGCCTTGCTCAATATGCAAGTAGATCTGGCTGTTTACCTTGTTACAACTTAGCACAGAGTAATCTAATTTTTGACCTTTTGAACGCTGGCAAGGATAGCGGGGTTGTCATGTTGCACTTAAAATTACCAGACAATTTTACAACACGTTTCGAAATTTCATCTATACATATAATAAAACTGTAAATAGCAGATGTCTGTACATTTTATATTTTTGTAATAAAAGTGATTGAGGGGTACTAAAAATAAGTAATTAAATACATTTCTACCATTTTTAGAACTTTCTGTCTGTCTGTCTGTCTGTCTGTTTGTTTGTTAACGTATCACGTTTAAAGTACTAATTTATATCATAAGAATTGTTAAGGAAATTATAAAGTGTATCTTCGGGTTACATTTAGTCTTTATTTCATTAAAATCGGTTCATTCCATCAAAAGTTATGATAAATATTCTGAAGTATGGGTAGGGAATTTGCTCAACGGTGGCTTTGTTTGAGTCATCAAGTTGATGTTAGCAGCGCCATCTCTCTTCAATTAAATATATACATATAATAAAAATGATGATAACATGTTGTGTCTCTTTCTGTACATTGTATATTTATTTTGGTGACTAAAATCATTATGGGGAACTAAAAATAATTAAATAAGTACATTTTTATAATTTTTAGAATTGTCTGTCTGTCTGTTTGTCTGTTTTTATATGAATGCATCACGTCTAAAGTAAACATCTTTTTTTTTCAAAGAAATCGTTAAGAAAATCATAAAGCGTATCTTCAAGTTACATTTAATCTTTGTTTTATTAAAATTGGTTAATTCTATCGAAAGTAATGATTATTATTTTAAAATGTAGGTTCGAATTTGTTCAATGGCGCCATAAAAATCACAAAAATAGTAATAAAAAGATTTGTGTGTAAAAAAAACGTTCCATAATAATTAATATATTTATACTTAAAACATAAAAAGAGATTTAAAAAAGGATGTTTTCTCACACAAAGGACGTAATAGATGGAGTTATACAAATTACAAACTTTTCTGATTTGCTGTGTTGAGATTTTTCGCCGATGAATCGTATTGAGACTTACTGAAGAAATTAGTATCTATCGAAGGACGAACGGAACCCGAACAAAAATAACAAAATTGCAACGAAATGTCGTGATATTGTATTTATAATATACGCAAAATCAGTACTGCCATTTTAGCGCTTTGGGAACTAGATTTAGCGCTTTTTTGGAATGTATAGCGCACATTTCGAAATTTTAGCACCTAGCACTTAATCCAGCGCTTTTTGGTGTATTTACCACAAATTTCAAAATTGTAGCGACTAGCGGGTTATTAACTCTTTTATAGCAGCACTGTTAGTCCACATTACCGATAATAATAATAATGACCTTTATTATTTTTTTCCACAAATAGTACATTGCAGTTTATCTTTTTCAAACATATTTTTTCCACAAAACAAAGAGCATGGGAGACGAGTCCAAACTAGGATACCCTGTGCTATGGATCTCCCGGCTTCCCCTTTAGGATGATCAACTTGATTTTTTTTATCGACGACTATAAGCGGGGAAATCCCCTTCATTAAAGTTTTCGTTCATGGTTTTGGCAACGCATTTATTTTGCTTTATTCAGTTTTAGTCAGTTGTTTAGAGCACAGCTAAGTTAAAAGTTACTTAGAGTAGTACTAACTACTGTTGACAGCAATTGCCATAATTATAAGTCGATGTCCTGCGAAGTATTGATACATCAAAAAATATTGCCAGAAAAAAACTTAATGTTGTTTTCTTTATTATGATTATATTTTCTTGAATTATAAATTATAATAAAAAACACAAACTTTGTTTGTAGTTAATTTAGCGCAAAATCTAGGGCTTTTTTAAAGCGCTGTTTTCATGAAATCTAGCGCTTTTTGTGTTGTCCTAGCGCTGAATGAGTTTTTTTGATCTGGCAGCACTGCCAAAAAACCCTCTATTAAGAAGTAACTTTCCCTTCAGTTTTAAGCGTGTTCAGTTCCCAGTTACAGTCAGCGTGTGTTATGCGATGACCGTAAATAAAGTGCAAGGTCAAAATTTACGCGTTGTAAGAGTGGACCTCAGTACTGACTGTTTTGCACATGGCCAACTCTATGTTGCTTTTTCCCGCGTTAGTAGCCCCCGTAACCTTTTTGTGTACACCCCGGCTAAGCCTACTTCTAACGTCGTTTACACAGAAGCTCTATCATAAACTACTTAGAACTTTGATGATAATGATTTATTTGTTACCACTTATTGATACAGTAATGATATAAATCGTTTAATATTCTCTTACCTTAACGACAAATTCTTTATGTAAAATCTATATACGCGAGCTACGCCGCGGGCACAGCTAGTACATAATATTTTTATAGAATTAAATGTGAACTTGATGGTTAGTGGTTGATGTGGCCCATGTTATGCGTATTATATACCATTGAGAACAGGACGATAGAGTCGGCCAGTAAAAAAGATATCCGGTTCTATACGATTCTCGACACTCGTAAATGAAAACACTGTAGCATTATGCTGCTTGCTATTTTATGCTAATGTGCGACCTAGTTCTTAATCAGTCTAGTTGACTTTGGACAAGGTTTTTTATTTGTGGCACATAGATGGACATTATTTCACTATAGAAAAGACCCAGAGTTGACTGGGTTTCTCCCATTCCATTTATAAATGAGTTTTGTGATCTCTTTTATGAAGCTGTAAACAATAAAGTGTAATTAAATAGTTATATCGCTTCAAAGCTTCATAAAGGCAATATTAAAGTTTTAAAATATCCTTAAGCAAAAGCAAAATTCAACATATTTTTATACTAAATCATTTATATAATGTATAACTCATTCAATCGACTATATGCGCAGGACAAGATTATTATGCACGAGCGTGTGCTAAGTACAGGTGCACTCTTTATTCCCTCACCCTCATAGTCCTATGAGATGACACAACCGCAGAGCGGTCAAGCGCAGGCAGACATGGGGATGAAAATTAATTTAATTATAACAAAAAGGGATATTCAGTTAGCGAACACCTGGCAACCCTGAACAAGTAATGTCTCACGAGTCAAAACAACTTTGTGAGAGTTTGCATCCAGTTCCGGTTTTCGAAACAAATTGACAGCCTCATTGTCTTCCGGCAAACGAGATATTCTTGTTTCTTGTTTACAATACAGGAATTCAATGACGCAGAGGTTGTAATAAATTTATCACAAGCAGACTGTATTACTCAGGCCTATAATAACTATTGTTTTGAGCGCGATTATGGAAATCTGTGAAATAACTTGGTTAACAATAATACGCCTTTTGGGTAACGTTGTGTGAGAATGCTTAAGGTTTAAAATAATATTACTGATTCGTATTATTAGCAATATAAAAAAGTTTTTAAATGGTATATAATACCTACTTATATATAAGCAAATCACAAAACATTTGTTACGTGGTAGAGCCATGCTGCAGCTATATTATGGTTATAGCACGAATGGGTCGACTCGACCGGGGACGGTCCACGCTCTCACAGAATACCATTGTAAAATAGCAGCTCAATACTGCTGTGTTTCGTATGGTGAGTGTAGAGACCCGGAGATCATTTTTACTGGAAACGAGGCATTCCATTTTAGTCCACAGGGGTGACAACGCATCTACGTTTTGATTCTTTATCGAGGATAAATGTAAATGTCTATGGGCCACAGAATCCATTTAAAATCAGGTGGACTGTGTGTTCGTTTGTCACTCTTATTTTATTTCTAAATTCTAACAAAATCTGGACTCGGTAGTTGGTACTTTAATCGAGTTATTAATACATTTTATATTAACTCTGTAAAAAGTCCGGAATTAAAGACCTACCGAAAAAAAGAAAGCAATTTCTGCCGAGTCAACTAGTAACGTATATTATTTTTAATTCATTAATTTTAATTCTTATGTATAATTGTTAATACATACTTCTGTTTCTAATACGTTTTTATTTCAAACTTTCAGACCGTTTTTCAGCGAGGAAGTTCATCCTTTTATGAAGCAAATGGCTAAGCGGCTGAAAATGAAAGAGAAGTGTCCGTGTTCCAAGAGTGATTATTGTAAATGATATTAAAAATAATATTTTAACTTTATTAAATATTTTGTGTTGCCATATAAACCGTTTTTATTTATATTAATTAACCATTGAATAATAACATGTGTATAATGATGTAGTATTTAATGTTAAGTAACATGTAGGTCAATGATGTTAATCTCATTCTCAAATTAAAATGAGTTAGTGTATCCACGACTTTCTGCCAACAGAGCGATGCCGCTTTGAAATGAGATGTAGTATTTAATAGATTTCATGGCAGTTGGATTAGGAAATCTATGAAGAAAATAATGATTCTTTTAGTTAATATTCTTTTTTTAGTAAATATCTAAAAGTTTCGTTAAGTGGTTGCTGTGGCCCATAGACATCTACATCTATCTTCAATGACGAATCAAAATACAGATGCGTTGTCACCAGGGAGTTTCGTGGCTTCCAATACAGCGGGTCTTCGGTTCCCTACACTCACCATACAAAACACAGCAGCGTTAATCTGCTATTTTACGCTGGTATTCTGTGAGAGCGTGGACCGTCCCCGGTCGAGCCGACCCATTCGTGCTATAACCATAATATAGCTGCAGCATGGCTCTACCACGTAATAACGGTCGAGCCGACCCATTTGTGCTACATTTACACCAGTAATACCTATAGCTGCAGCATGGCTCTACCACGTAAAATAAGTTTGTATAGTTCTCCAGGGTCGCACCCATTTTCATTACATTATAATTAAATGTCACGTGGAATCCTACGTAACACTACCATGTTATATTCTACATCGCTTAACAACAGCTTTTTAAGTCGATTGCAGCTTTTTTATAGAGTGATAGAAGTGGATGCTGAGGCACATACAGCTAACCTTCTTTTCTTTTCACTCTTTTCACACCATAGGACTAAGATTTTTATTTTAAGGACGTTACCAGTAAAAAGGGTTACCGATTTTTGTAGCTCGTACCGTAAGTGTAGCAGCACGCTATACCTACTTATAAAAAAATATTATATGTCTGTTTGTAATATCGAAGTAACTGCCTTTTATTCAGCTGAGGGTATTATTAAAATTTTCGTCTCTCTGTCTAACTGGACTAATCTTAGGAATGGCTATTGGATAAACAGACTGTATTGAAACTCCACGAACATATTGAGAGCAATGCCATAAGTAATCTAGTCTATATCGAAAAATTTGTTTTTTTTTTTTCGAGAATTTGAGAATTAGATAACATAGATAACTTTGATGATTAACATAAATCTAAATAACGCTACATTAATAGATCCCACCCAAGCGAAGCCGGGGCGGGTGATTTATCTTTATATCATACCTTCACACGTGGTAGAGCCATGCTGCAGCTATATTAGTAATATAGTTGTAGCACGAATGGGTCGGCTCGACCGGGGAAGGACCACGCTCTCAAAGAAAACCAGCGAAAAATAGCTGCTTAACGCTGCTGTGTTTCGTCTGGTGAGTGTAGAGAACCGGAGACCCTTTATACTGGAAAAGAGGCATTCCATCTTAGTCCTCACGGGTGACGACGCATCTTATTTTTTATTATTTTTTTCTTATTTTTAATTAAACGTTACCCCCACACTAGGATTTTCTCCTGTATCGTGGAGGCAGTTTACAAACACAAATTTCACAAGGACAAACATCCAGACCCGGAACAATCATTTGTAGGCCATACAAATACTTGTTCCGTGCGGGATTCGAACCCGCGCCCCCCAGCGCAGCAACTCATTGCTAAGCCACTGCGCCACGGAGCCTGCATTTTGATTCTTTATTGAGGATAAATGTGGATGTCTATGGGTCACAGCAACCACTTACCATCAGGTGGACTGTGTGTTCGTTTGTCTAGTTAAAATATATCTAGTTTCTACACTAATAATACTACATTACCGCTATCCATACAAATTATACCATAATATTAAAAAAATATGCTGTTATTTACGCTGGTACTCTTTAACTCCGGTCCACTGTTAGTCGTACCAACCACTTTACGCTGCGCCTTGGCTCTAGCGCATAATTCGTCTTTGACGCCGCAAAGGGGCGAACCTCAATTTTTCTCTTTTTAATAATCTTATTTGTAGTTTTCCAAATATATTTAATTTTCTGATGAATAAAAAGCTAAGTAATCGGGGAATATTAAATGTTTTCTTGCTCTCCAGTAATTTTTTGAAAAGCCCCGCATTGTCATACGCAGTCTGATGTACTGATAAATTTCTCAGGTATATTGTGTCAAATGGCAACGAAGTTAACGCCGAGTACCGGAACAAACTTGTGTCTGAAGTCGAGTCTTTGCTGAACAAAGTCTCGTATTGGGGGCGACTAAATCTAGTCCAGTTTAATCCTCAGAAGACACAAGTTTGCGCGTTTACCGCTAAAAAGAACCCCTTTGTCGTGTCTCCTCAGTTTCAAGGCACTCCCCTTCTTGCCTCAGCCAGTATCGGTATCCTCGGAGTCGACATATCGAGTGACGTGCAGTTTCGTGGTCACTTGGAAGAGAAGGCCAAATTGGCCTCTAAAAAGCTTGGCGTGCTCAGCAGAGTGGGACAGTATTTCATGCCGGCACACCGCCTGCAAGTTTACAAGGCGCAGGTTTGGCCTCACATGGAATACTGTTCCCATCTCTGGGCAGGGGCTCCCCAGTGCCAGCTCCTTCCACTTGACCGCATCCAGCGCAGAGCGGCTCGAATCGTCGACGACCGAGCCCTTTCCGATCGGCTCGATTCATTGGCACTGCGAAGAGATGTTGCATCTCTTTGCATTTTCTTTCGCATCTACCATGGGGAGTGCTCTGAGAAATTGTTCGGATTAATCCCAGCCGCCAAATTTCACGAACGCACATCGCGGCAGAACTCCCGATACCATCCACACCATCTGGATGATTGGCGGTCCACCACTGTGCGATTTAGAAGATGTTTTCTTCCTCGCACGACTTCCTTGTGGAATCGATTACCATCAGCGATTTTTCCGGACCGATACGACTTAGGGACCTTCAAGATAAGAGTGCACTCCTTTTTAAAAGGCCGGCAACGCATCTGCAATTCCCTCCCTGGTGTTGCAATTGTTCATGGGCGGCGGTAGTCACTTACCATCAGGTGAGCCGCATGCTCGTTTACCCCCTCCCATATAAAAAAAATGGCAAGCTTATGGAAAACATCAGCCACCATATGACGTCATTGACATTGATGTTAGGATTCACATCAGATTAGACAAATTCTCGGAAATTCGTGTACGTGACTGACACAAATACCCAATTTTAATGCTTTGTGCGTGCTGTTGTGCCTGATTTACTTGTCGATATGTCTCACGTAGAGAGGTATAGTCGAGGACAAATATGTCATCTATTATTTAAGATTCTTATGTAAACGGAAAATATTATTAAACACCCAGTTTATTACTATACTTATATAGGCACTATTATAAAATAAGTAATTGGTTTTTAAAGAAATGACATTTAAATTTGCGTGTAAAATTTTTGATAAAAGTATACATACCTATCGTATTCATCGTCGAATTTGTTAGGGTCATTCCCAGGTCTGAGATTTTAATTCTAATAAAATGATACAGCAGTAAAAAATGCATCAGTGCCTCAGCCTAATGCTTATAGTAGAAATAGAAGGCAGGTATATTTAAAACCTCAATATTCCTAATCTTTTCTACCTAGGTGTCAGTCTAGATAAGTATTTACTTCTACTTCTGTCGACAGACAGCAGTGCATTCAGTGTTGTCTTCCGGCTTAAGAGAAACAATACAATTAAAAGTTGTGTGAATATGTCTCAGAGACGCTATTGCAGCCTTCTTTATTTTTTATTGAGTGTAGCTGTTCATGGGCTACGGTAGCCACTTACCATCAAGTGAACTCTCAGCTTGTTTACCATAATTATATAAATTATAAGTAGCGCAATCGTAAACAACAAAGTTTCAAACAAAACTTTACTTATCACCACAAGACATCAGTCACTTAATGCACTTTTTTCAATGACAGTACATAACAACGATTTTCCTGTAGGAAGAGGTTAATTCATGCCAATAAAAAAAAATATTACGAAGGCAACTCGTAATGTTATGATTTCATTCAAAATATTTTCCTCAATCTGTTTGTCCTATATAAGCTTTAACATGTTCATAATCGACACAGTCTTATCCAAACACCATGGACGCTAAGATTTGGGTATTACTAGCCATTGTAATCACAGTTCAATGTCGCGATATAACCGAAGGTTCGATTAACGGTGGACATAAAATATATGACGAAAACAAACAAGCAAGTCCGGCGTTATGGCGACGGATAGAGAACGTAACGATTGCGGCAAACGAGAGCGAAATAATTAGCGGAATTATTGTCACAGATTTAAGAGAAGAGAAAGATGGAGATGCTAAAATAGTGGAAGGTGGAGAAGGACAGAACAACGTTACCATTGAACTTAAAAGTCCTGCTGTACTGAGAGGATTCGACTTCCATATTGAAGCTTATGCCATCCCTAAAAGTCAACAAAAATCTACAGAACATGAAATTAAAACATTTCCATCCGATAAATCTACTGAAAATTCAAAACCAGAAACAAGTTTAAATACAGATGCAAGTATACCTATTAGTTTAGCTAAAAATGAAATATCTTCGTCTTCGGAAAGTTCCATAGAATCGTCCACAAATATAGAAAAAAAAATTAATCAAAGACAAAATCGTGACACGGAAAAAATAGACAAATCTACTCAAGAAACAAATCCTGCACAGTCATTTACAGACAAAAGTACTACAATCGTCCCAGAGGGCAGAGAATCACATACGCTTGTAAATAAATATACATCAACTCAAGTACCTGAACAAAGACATGACTTTCATGTCCCAAAACTTCAATTACATGAATTCAGTAGAATGCCAGAATCAACGGCTAGAAATGTTCCTATAAGTGACTTAAAAAAGATGGAAGACACGAACTATAATCGAGACCACGAAATTTATGGGGATAATAAGAGATATACACATGTTGATTATCCTCAATTTACAAACAACCGTGATAACAATGAATTACCAGTACCAGCTATAGTTAACATTGAAATGCCTACCATAGAAAATAATAACAAAAATAAAAATTTGCGTAAGAAGCGTGATTTGGGTAATGAACAACACAATCCGGTAATTAATGACAAAGAAGGTCTAACATCTTTTCCCCAAAGATTAACTAACGATGATAATACTGCTGAAATTTATAAATCAAATAGTCAAACAGAGGAATCTATAAATGCAGCAACTACAAAATCAGAAAGGATAACTGAAAAGCAAGGTAACCTCCAAAATAATTCGGAGGTAACAGATAGTGTTAAAACGGATAATTCTGCAAACGTTTCGAAATTAATTGAAGATAACAATAGAAATATTCGAGATACAACGATGGTTAATACAAATGATAAAAAAGAAACCTTACTATCACCCATTGATATTCTCGATGACTCTAAATATCCAATAACTACTTTTACAGCCACATCCGACAAGCCCAAAATGGATCAGCAAAATGCACTAAAAATTAATGATAACAACAAAGTCCCACAAAGTAATCTAAAAATACCTACTGTACTTCATTCCGATACTGATGACAGTGTAAATGACGATAATACAACAGTGGTTACAGTAGAAACTGAAGATATGGAAAGAAATTCCAGGGATACAGTGAGTGATACAAAAAACGAAATGTTATCTTTTACTAAAGTTTTGAAACCCACTAATAATATTAACATCACTTCAAATCAAAACAAATCTGTACTAACAACAAATCTAGAGAATTTCAAACTTGGTCAAGTGACAGGCGAAACTACTATTGAACCGCATGAAAATATTGACGTGCCAGTTGAATTCAAATATGGGGTTTCAGATTCAGCACATCTTGTTAATTTAACAACAGACGCTTCTCAAAGATCTAAACAAAATGAAAGGAAAACTCGCGATACGAAGGAAGTCAATAAAACAGATAACAACAATAACGAAAAGCTTTCTCCAAATACCGATATGGATGTAAGTGCAGAAATAACTACCAAAACTCAGAAAATGAACACTGGTAATATCGACAGCAAATCTGCTATAACATCAAAGATCGAGGCTAAGAAAACGATTACTGATAAAGATGAGAAACTTCAACAAATTCCAATAGTAGCCACTGTTCTAAATACCACTGAAAGTAAAATTAATCCTAAATTTGCAATGAAGAATATTCCTCAACAATTTACTAAAACGGTTTCAGTGAAAGAAAATAGTCAGTCACCGAAAACTCCTCGAGATATCAAGGAAACTGATACAGTAGGCCCAAAAAATGCATCTATAGAAGAGCTTAACAGCGATATACCACGAAAGGACATTAAAGTTAGCTACACAGATTCTACATTTATTGTGACACCAGCAAGATCCAATAAAGAACAGGCAAAAATACTTAAAAACACAAGTGAAAATAATAACAACGAATCCACAGAAAAGTCAGTGCCCAGAGAATAGCTAGATATACCAGTTGTCTGAAGAACGAATATAGAATAGTATATTTTTTCATTCAATAATATACAGCTTAATACGACTACTACAGCCCGTCACAAGTCCACAACTGAATATCGGCCTCCCAATCCCGCAACCACCAATTGCCTGCGTGTTTCATCGTGTTGGGCGACCCCTAACTAGTTCGAGTGACTGCCTGTTGAAACATTCTTCAATATAGATTATGAACGATTCTTAATGAGTAATTTTTTTACTTTTACCAGTGGTACGGAAAAACTTCTGACCTGGGAAGAACCAGCAAGAAACCCAGCGGCACTTTTTTTAAATTAACATTAAACAATAAAAATAGATTGTAAAATTACTTTTAAGTAAACTATGTAGTTTTCGTTTATTATTCAGTGACTAATTTTAAATGTAAGTAATAAGTTTATTTATATTGAATAAATATAATAGTGTACTATAAATAAAACAATTTTTAATTCTTTCCATTACTTTTCAAATTATTAAACGCTCGAGAGCCGAACCGGCATTAAAATTAAAAAAAAAGCAAGTTTTTCGGATAAAATATAACCTAGATCCCTCCTGGTATTGCTCTCTATCTGTTCTTAAAGTTTCATCGCAATCGGTTCAGGCGAAGATTAGCCCGGACAATCAGACTGTCAATGATTATATATATATATATTTCGACGGCTCCGTGGCGCAGTGGCTTAGCAATCAGTTGTTGCGCTGGGGGCCGCGGGTTCGAATCCCGCACGGAACAAGTATTTGTATGGCCTACAAATGATTGTTCCGGGTCTGGATGTTTGTCTTTGTGCAATTTATGTTTGTAAACTGCCTCCACGGCACAGGAGAAAATCCTAGTTTGGGGGTAACGTTTTAAAAAAAAAGATTTATGCCGACGCATGCTAATAACCCCTTGAGTTTAATAGAAGCCAGTTATTTTAATATTGCAGACAGACGCTTCAATTTTATTTCTGTAAATTATTTTGGAATGTCATAATAGTTGTTATAATTTTCTACAGACTTCAAAAAGGAGACGGTACTCAATTCGACAGTATGTTTTTTCTTTTTTTTTATGTGTTCTCTTAACTTTTTTCTGGGTGAACCGATTTCGATAATTCTTTTTTTATTTAAAAGCTGGTGCTTCTCATGTCGTCCTATATAAATTTGATCAAGGTCTGACCAATATTGTCTGAGTTATTCTTAATAATTTATATTGAAGTCGGTTTTACAAAATTTTTAATTATTTACCTACGAATAGGGATAAGATAATATGTAAGTATTTCAGTTCAGTACAGTTACCAATACTTAATAATAATTTTATATATCATAATACTGCTATTCATTATCTGACTGCCTTGTTGTTTAGTGGTAGTAAACGCGGTTGGGGAGCATGAGGTCTCGGTTTCGAATCTTAGGTCGGGCCAAAATCAGTCATTGATTTTTCCTGGCAAGTAATTCTCAGTAGCAACGCAGAGTCAATATGTTGGCAGTGTTTCGCCCTCGTTCCTCTGAATGCACGTAAAGATGTTGTTTCTGAAAAAAGAAATTGCGATATCTTCGTTTAATATAGTTTTAAGAAACAACGATTTTTATAAGCACTACGTGTTCGGTGATGTGTGTTTTCTTGCCGCGGAGAAGATCGAAAGCTTTGTTCATATATCAAGCAAAGCGGACGAAATGGTCGGTATCATCTAGTAAATTATAATATTGCAACTTTCACAAACTTAATTCATTAAATCTGTAATGAATCAAAACAGTGGTAGAGTAGAGTGGTAGAGCCACGCTACAGCTTCTGCTGTAGCGTGTATGGGCCGGCTCGAACCGGGGCAGTACCACGACCTCACAGAATACCAACGTAAAGTAGAAGCTATGCTTTTGCGTTTTGCTTAGTTAGTGCAGATGGCCGGAGGCCAACCCCCCCAGCAGGTGGCAGCGGAATTTAAAAAGAATAGAATACCCCAGGAGGGTACCAGCACCCCTGGTACTGGAATCTCTCACTGAGCGTCCACGGTCAAGCTATTCTGCGTATTCTGAGGGGGGGGGGGGGGCAAAATCCCGCTCTATACTAACACTGCACGGGGAAAGCAGAGCGATAAAACCATGGCGACCCCTGCCACGCTATCCGTGGACTTCTGCAAAATCAGGGGACTTCCTCGAATCTTTCAAAACACTTCTTTGTGCCCCTGGCTGGAGTTTACGTATACGTCAGAGAGGATATCTGTTCTCGACGCCTCGGCAATCTTGAAGGTACGGACTTGTCCATTCTATGGCTGCGCGTAGACAGCGACGACCATCACCGCGTCTACGGGTGTCTGTATAGGTCCCAAAGCGGTAATGCCGACACAGACCGACTAATCGACCACGTCCAAATGGCTACAGATTTCTTGCTATAACAGATCCCATCTGTAGAGATCGTGATACTTGGCGATTTTAACGCCCACCACGCTGAATGGCTCGGTTCACGTTTAACCGATCATGCGGGGATATCTGTTATGAATTTGCCTTGGCATTTGGTCTGACAAAACTGGTTACTTCGCCTACGCGGATTCCTGATGTGGAGGATCATACACCTTTCCTGTTGGACCTTCTACTGATCTCTCATCCGGACAGATATCAGGTTTCCGTCGATGCCCCTCTTGGCTCTTCGGACCATTGTCTGATCCGGAGTGTGGTACCATTCACGCTCCCCTCGCGGTTGCGTTCTGAAGGTTGCCGCCGTGTTTGGCATTACAGGTCGGCGGGTTGGGCCGGAATGCGGTCTTTCTTTGCATCCTACCCATGGGGGCGGGTTTGCTTCTAGCCGGATGATCCCACCGATGTGGTGCTACAGGGAATGGAACTATTTATTCCATCATCTATGGTACTCATCGGTGGCAGATCTTAGCCTTGGTTTGGTCGTTCCTGTAAGACTGTATTACGCAGTAAACAGGAGCGTATCAGGCCTGGGCTGAGGCTTCGGCGGTTCGGGATGTAAATACCAGCATGCTTAAAAAGTAGTATAACTTCGCCTCCAGATCCTTCAAAAGAGTTATTGCCAAGGCAAAGTCAGGGCACATAGGCAGAATTACTAGTTCGCCTTCTTTCGGTAACCCGTGCATTCTGGTCTCTCGCCAAGGCTGTCCAAGGAAATTTCTGTAAGCCATCACTACCATCTCCGCACAGTGAGGATGACTCACTGGACCACGCCACAAAAGAGATAGCCGACCTTTTAGGCTCCCTTTTTGCGTCCAACTCGACTCTTGATGACAGGGGGAACACACCGCCGAACATCCCGCAGCGTGAGTGCTCTATGCCTGATGTGCGATTCACACAGTGCTCAGTACGCAAAGCACTCCTCTCCCTGCACATCCACAAGTCGAGTGAGCCTAACGGAATCCCGCCAATTGTGCTGAGGACGTGCGCTCCAGAGTTGGCACCGGTTCTAACGCGTCTTTTTTGGTACCCTAGCCGTTGTCCCGAATTCATGGATGACAGCTTTCGTGCACCCAATCCCTAAAAAAGGTAACCGCTCTGATCCGTCCAATTACAGGCCTATCGCCATCACCTCCTTGTTCATCCTTAACTGCCAGCTCATGCGGTACCTTCAGGAGCATCAGCTGATTAGTGACTGCCAGTACGGTTTTCGTCGGTGCGCTCAGCTGGTGATCTTCTTGTTTATCTAACACATAGATGGGCGCAGGCGATCGAGTCCAAGGGGGAGGCATTGGCTGTTAGTTTGGACATAGCGAAGGCCTTCGATCGGGTCTGGCACAAAGCGCTACTTTCGAAGCTTCCTTCCTATGGGCTTCCCGAGAAATTGTGTAATTGGATCACCAGTTTTCTGGCTGATCGGAGCATCAAGGTAGTAGTAGACGGTGCATGCTCTGATTACAAGCATATTAACGCTGGTGTTCCACAAGGCTGCGTGCTATCACCAACGCTGTTTCTTCTGCATATCAATGATATGTTGCAAACCGGTAACATACATTGCTATATAGATGACAGCACTGGTGATGCTCTATACACTGGCCGTGTCAGTATTTCTCGGGAATACGTCGCCGAGTACCGGAACAAACTTGTGTCTGAAGTCGAAACTTTGTTAAACAAAGTCTCGGATTGGGGGCGCCTAAACCTAGTCCAGTTCAATCCCCAGAAGACACAAGTTTACGCGTTTACGGCTAAAAGGAACCCCTTTGTCGTATCTCTTCAGTTTCAAGGCACTCCCCTTGTTGCCTCAGCCAGTATCGGAATCCCGGCGTCGATGTATCGAGTGACGTACAGTTTCATGGTCACTTTGAAGAGAAGGTCAAATTGGCCTCTAAAAAGCTTGGCGTGTTCAGCAGAGCGGGACAGTATTTTTCATGCCGGCACACGCCTACTACCGTTTAACCTTTTTTATACGTGGTAGAGCCATGCTGCAGCTATATTGGTAGTATAGTTGTAGCACGAATGGGTCGGCTCGACCGGGGTAGGACCACGCTCTCACAGAATACCAGCGTCAAATAGCAGCTTAACACTGCTGTGTTTCGTATGGTGAGTATAGAGAACCGGAGACCCTTTTTACTGGAAAAGAGGCATTCCATCTTAGTCCTCACGAGTGACTACGCATCTGCATTTTGATTCGCAAACGAGGATAAATGTAGATGTCTATGGGCCACAGCAACCACTTACCATCAGGTGGACTGTGTGCTCGTTTGTCCTATATAAAATATCCTATAAAAAAACCCGCTTTACAGGGTGCAGGGGGGGCGACTAAATCTAGTCCAGTTCAATCCCCAGAAGACACAAGTTTGCGCGTTTACCGCTAAAAAAAAACCCTTTGTCGTATTTCTTCAGTTTCAAGGCACTCTCTTTGCTGCCTCAGCTAGCATCGGAATCCTTGGCGTCGACATATTGAATAGTGTGCAGTTTCGTGGTCACTTGGAAGGAAAGGCTAAATTAGCCTCTAAAAAGCTTATCGTGCTCGAGCGAGCGAGACAGTATTTCATGCCAGCACATCGCTTGCAACTTTACAAAGCGCAAGTTCGGCCTCACATGGAATACTGTTCTCATCTCTGGGCAGGGGCTCCCCAGTACCAGTTCCTTCCACTTGACCGCATCCAGCGCAGAGTGGTTCGAATCGTCGACGACCGAGTTCTTTCCGATCGGCTTGACTCACTGGCACTGCGTAGAGATGTTGCATCTCTTTGCGTATTTAATCGCATTTACCATGGGGAGTGCTCTGAGGAATTGTTCGGACTAATTCCAGCCGCTCAATTTCACCATCGCACATCGCGACAAAACTTGCGATACCATCCATACCACCTGGATAATTCGCGGTCCACCACTGTGCCATTTAGAAGATGTTTTCTAACTCGCACAACTTCCTTGTGGAATCGTTTACCACCAGCGATTTTTCCGGACCGATACGACTTAGGGATCTTCAAGAAAAGAGCCTACTCCTTTTTAAAAGGCCGGCAACGCATCTGCAATTCCCCTGGTGTTGAATTGTTCATGGGCAGCGGTAGTCACTTACCATCAGGTGGTACCGCATGCTCGTTTGCCCCCTCTCCTATAAAAAAAACCCCACTCCTCAACGTAGGCCTCCTCCATACATTGGCTCATAGGATTTTGCCATCATTGCCTATCGTGGCAGGCGAGTCGTCAACTGTACTTTTTTATTATATTCAGCTGTTAACAGGAAGATGCTGCTGCTCATCTCCTGTTTCACTATCTCTCTGACGCCACTTACAAAATCTACGGGATGACATAAAGCAGTATAGTCTGTTCACTAAGGTGTCGTTACACCTGGAGGCGCACTTATTATTTTACTTTTATTTTATTACTTTATTTACTGTGATTGTTAAATAAATGTTGGTTTGTTAAATAAAATACGAATATAAATAATAAAAGCAAGTAAGGCAGCAAAGAACTTTTCACTACGGCGCATCATTTTAAAATGTCAAATTGCCCTTCGGAATCCATCAGTCATCAACGGAATAAAGATAAAAAGGTACCTTGAGGATAACCAGCTGATTAGTGACCGCCTGGTCTACTTGACTCATATTTGGACGGAGGCAGTAGAACCAATGGGGAGGCCTTGACCGTTAGTTTGGACATAGCGAAGGCTTTCTTTATCGATGCCTAAAAATTAAGTGCACAACGAACTGTTGAAATTTGCGTTGCTGGCAAAACGTATCGCTAACAACGCAGTGACGACAATAGATATACGATAAATATTAATAGCAAGGAATTAATTGTTGAAAGATATTATATGATAGTATTGGGGTCGGATGTAGATGACGGTAATATTCTGGGAAGTATCGGGTCCAGGACCACCATTACCTACCTTACTATAAGGTATGAATGGCATTTTTTGTGCTTTATCAGTTATATATTATAGATAAGATAGGTAGAATCTGTACTCAAACCACAACAAATCTGTACAAAATCACAACGCCCCGACTCCACGTAGTCGTGTTTGCCCTACCCCTATACCCTAGATTGTTTTTGTAAAGCCGTAGGCGCGGAAGGAGAGCAGCCCCCGCTGCGGGAGTGCAACCCCTTCACCCGTTCGGCGAAGGGGCTGCACTCCCGCAGCGCCGAAGCCGTTGCAGAAGTAACTATGTGAATATTCCTGCAACGCAAATTTCAACAGTTCGTTGCGGTGAAAATTTTAGGGCACCTAATTTTTAAACTTTGTACCTAATTAGCACCTTAAAAGCCCCTAATTTTGGGTTTTTCTACATGCGAATTCCTGATTTTGCGTTGCTGGCGATACACAACTAAATTGTTCAGGTATTTTATCGTACTTGGCTTCTAAGATAGGAAGTTGAGTCTAAGAGTGAATTCTATCAAGTATGCCAGTATGAGAGACTCTACTCTTATATTTTCTTATATATGTCGATGAAGCGGGGTTAGCTCCAGCATCACCTCTAAGGCTGCTGTTGGTGTAGTCCTTATGCAGCCTGCGGCGGCCATACAAGCCAGTCTCTGGTAACGCTGAAGCTTCTTTATAGTGGTGGCTTCATTTGGTTTGGTCCACAGCGCCATATGTGCTCATTAACCGAACTACAGTTTTGTACAGCTACGGTATAATTTTTGGCGTCAGACCCATCTTTTGCCAATCATGTTTCCGCATTGCCAGAAAGTTATACTAACTTTGTTGATTTTGTTATCTATGTGTTTATTCTAATTGAGTTTACTGTCAAGGCAAGACCTAAATACTTTACCTCGGAAGATAGCTGGAGTTTTGTGCTGAAAAGACTTGAGAGATGGTAGTTATTTATTATTCGTTTTTGTGCGAACACTACTATATGCGTTTTATTTGGATTAAAGGTTAAGAGAGACGAGAGATGGTCCAGGGAATTCTTATTCCCTGGACCATCTCTCGACTTGGGTCAGGTCGCACATGTTTGCTCTTTCCAGAGACCAGTATTGTCAGGTCATCTGCATAACCTACTGTGTATAAGTAATTGGCATTTTGATTTGTTGATGAGTTCATTAATGACCATATTTCACAGGAGAGGTGAAAGAACCCCACCACAGAGTATCTTTTTATACCAAGGAAACCCCACCCTGCGGGCAGCCTTTCTTAATCTAGATTGTTTGAGATTTACCATCAATCTTCATTGTTCGTGTACTGAGCATGTTTATTATCCAGTCAATCAGCGCCGGTTCATCTTTATGTCTACTGAGTGCACCTTTTATGCTGGAGAAGTTGCTTCTGTCAAAAGCACCTCCTATATCTATGAAGGAACCTAGACATATTACTTTGTTTTGGATGGCCTGTTCAATATTTGTTATTACCTGGTGAAGTGCCGATTCTGTCGATTTACTGTCTATCTGTCTTGTATCGGTAAGTTCATTAGCGCCGACCCCCTTAATTCCCTTTCACACATCCTCTCCATCGTCTTTAGGAAAAAGTATGTGTAGGATGTGTCTGTAGGATTTAGGCTCTGTATAGTTGCTCCCATCTGGTTTGGGTATGAATGTGACTTTCAATCCCCTAGGAACATATTTAAGAGCTAGACCGGCTCTTATTAAGGCAACAAGTCTGACTATTAGGGTTTTACACCCCCCCCCCCCACTGTAGGTGTGCCCGGAATACGCCGTCAGGTACGTCAGGTACCGCCTTATAGGGGAGGTAACTTTGAATAGCCCAATGGATTTTATCCACCATTACCACCAACTGTGCTAAATTCCAGTCTTCTGCTGTAGGTGTCGGTGTATCTTCATGCCGGTTTACCCCTTGAGTTACGCAACAACTTGGGAAGTGCGTTTCAATTAGGATGCATCCGGCGATGTTCAGTAGTTTCCGTCGGGTTTGTTTAGAGAGATGGATCCCGGCGTGTTATATTTAGGTAGATTTTCCTTATCCGATTCGCTTGTTCACAGGTTTCTATGTTACCACAGAATTGACACCACCTGTCTCAGTTTCCCTCTGTTGTCTCTTACGACACCCACGGGATATGGGGTACGGGTATGTAAATTATTAAACAATTCTATTAAATCATCCGGGTAAAATATGCTCTTCTATGCATAATTTTACAATTAACCGGTTCAGTGCGAGTGACACGCCAGGCGTGCCATGGATTACTTTTGTGTGTGGCGGATGACACGCGAGTCGCGTCTTTTTAAAAATCGTTATAACTCGCTCAAATTGCTTTTTTGGAAAATTTATCCACGACAAAATATTCATTATTTTGCGAATAGTTCATGCATGCAGCTTCGTTTCTGGATATTTTGAAAATTTGAAATTTTTAGGGGTTAACAACCTTTTTTAACGTGTACATGTTACTATTTTTACTTTGTGGGTTTTAAATCATGTTATGGAAAAATTGTCTAATAAGTAACAAATAATAGCACTCATTGCGATCGCTCACCAACTCAAGTTGTAAATAAATTTCTGGAAAAGAAGTCTCCTGTTAAAAAAAAACGATGCGTTTGTCTTATTGTTTAATTTTTCGTGGTAGAGCCATGCTGCAGCTATATTATGGTTGTACCATGAATGGGTCGGCTCGACCGGGGATGGACCACGCTCTCACAGAAAACCAGCGTAAAATAGCAGCTTAACGCTGCTGTGTTTCGTATGGTGAGTGTAGAGAACCGGAGACCCTTTTTACTGGCAAAGAGGCATTCCATCTTGGTCCTCACGGGTGACAACGCATCTGCATCTTGATTGAGGATAGATGTAGATTTCTATGGGTCACAGTAACCACTTACCATCAGGTGAATTGTGTGCTCGTTTGTCATCCTTAATCTATAAAAAGAAAAAAGAAAACTTCCATTTTTATTTATCACCATAATAACAACAACAAAAAAAAATAAAACTGAAGTTTTATAAATCTTCAGAAAACAATTATAAATTTACATTATATGTAATATCAAATATGAAACACTAATCATACTTTATTAACGAATAAACAGGTACATCATCTGGAATGTTTTTGCGTCCATTGAGTTTAACTAGTTCCATAACAGCGACACAACCAACAACATTAGCACCGCACCTTCGCAGTAAATTTGTGGCAGCAGTAATTGATCCGCCAGTTGCTATTAGATCATCTACAATAAGACACTTTAAGCCTGCATGTACAGTGTTCTTTTGGATTTCTAATACATCCTGAAAAAATTGCACTCTTAAAACAAATGATGAGGTATACTCATAACAAACAACCAACATATCTGTAGTCAAATCAAGTGGAAACTAATTATTATTAATTCTGTGCTTGCAGTGTTTACCTAAAGCCTTGCCCTGTTTAGCTACACTCCTGTTTGAATTAAACTCCCAAGTGCTTATCAAGCCTGTTTTTACCCACGATGGAACAGAGAAGTTAGAGTAGAAGTATTTGTGCAAATGAATGTTCCCATTTATCTCCAAAACGGTTTGACCAATTGAGATACGGTTTTGGAAGGTATTAAGTGGAGGTACTTTTATAAAATTTTGTAAAAGCCAATTTTGAATAAAAACATTTGACTTTGACTTTATACATTCGATTACAAGTACTGTATTCTTTGACAGTCGTCATTTTGGCTTTAACAAATAGTTATGATGATGATGATGATGCATAATAAAAGAGTTTGAATTATTCTGTGATATTGTAAGTACTTGCCTTAATGAAAGCTTTTGTAGGAGTTGGCTTACTACACAATAAGAAAGAAAAAATTTACAAAATACAAGTAAAAACAAAATGAAAACAATATTTTGCAATTTAGTTTTTTCTATTAACTAGGGTTTTAAACTAACTGATACCCACGACTTCGTCTGCGTTGCTTGATACATTAACAAAGAAAACACACATCACTGAACACATAGTGCTTATAAACACTTTAATAACTTTTTATTAAATAAAGATATCCCAATTTTTTTTAGATAAGGGCAAAGTGTCTGGAAATATAACTTAGAAAACCTAATTGAAATTAGTTTTTCTGTGATGCGTGCACAACTGCAAACCTCTATCATTTTATTTATATAGAAGATGAAGATGATTGACATTGGTCAGAAATCAATTATTTTTTTACGTGGTAGAGCCATACTACAGCTCTATTTCTGGTATAGTTGTAGCATGAATGAGTAGGCTCGACCGGGGAAGAACCACGCACTCACAGAATACGAGCGTTAAATAGCAGCTTAATGCGCATGTTTCGTATGGTGAACCGGAGACCCTTTTTATTGGAAATGAGGCATTCAATCTTAGACCTTACGGGTGATAACACATCTACATTTTGATTCTTAATCGAGGATAGATGTAGATGTCTATGGGCAACAGCCAGATAGATGTAGATGCCTATGGGCAGCAACCACTTACCATCAGGTGGACTGTGTGCTCGTTTGTCAACCTTATCCTATGAAGAAAAAAAAAAAAAATAACTTACCGAACCATACTCTAAATCATATCTGTAAGCCTCAACTTCGCCAGGTAGCTTCCCTTTCTTTCGAACTGGTAAGCATCCAATGCCAAGCTCAGCAGCAAGTGAAAATGAAAAGAGGAAACCTCTAGCTTCTAATCCTATTACTGCTTCTATATCCGGAAAATTATGTTTAACCATTTGTATAAGTAGACTTTGCAAGAGTTTACATGTTGGACCATCTGATACTGCTGAAAATATGTCCCTAAAATCCAAAATCAGATTTAACTACTTCATCAGCTCGCAATAGTAAAGTACTGGGCATGGACCTTTCCCGTTGTGTAGAAGATTGGCCATTATCGTCACGCTTGGCAAGCGAAATAATAAATTGAATAAACTTATTAAATAGACTGTAATTTTAATGTACTTTTACATAAATGTGTATTGTTGTAAGTTATTGTAAGGTGAAGGAATAAATCATATAGCTTACCAAAATAATATTCCTGGTTTAGGAAAGTCGGGAAAACTTTTAATTTTATTTTTAAGTTCTGCAACTTTCTTATCGAAATCGGGTTCCATGATACCAATAGTTTTAATAAAACTTACAAGTAGTTTCTTTTAATTTGTGCGTTTTAATTAAATTAAATATATAGTTTTACACGTCTTTTATTAAACTTTAAATAATAATAGGTATGTTATGATATCATTTCATAAAAGTTTATAAGTTCATCTAACCTATTAACCTAGACATTTATGTATCTTTTTGAAATAACCTCTCTCTACTTTGTCTCTACCAGTCTCTACTTGTAAGGCCGGCCACATACATACGGAATTCCGTTTCGAGATTTCGTTTCGATATTCCGATTCGGAATCCCGAACGCAGCAAGTCCATATAAAATCTATGACCCGCCACACACGTACGTTAGTTTTCCGTTCGATATTTTGCAGCCAAAACGGGATTCCGTTTTTGTGTGGCCGACCGTTCGAAATTCCGAAACGGAATCTCGAAACGGAATTCCGTATGTATATGGCCGGCCTAAGTTGACTCTGCGGAAAGACATGCATGAAATAAAGCTGACAACATACATACGGAATTCCGTTTCGAGATTAAGTTTCGATATTCCGATTCGGAATCCCGAACGCAGCAAGTCCATATAAAATCTATGACCCGCCACACACGTACGGTAGTTTTCCGTTCGATATTTTGAGGGCAAAACGGGATTCCGTTTGTGTGTGTCCGACCGTTCGAAATTCCGAAACGGAATCTCGAAACGGAATTCCGTATGTATATGGCGGGCCTAAGTTGACTCTGCGGAAAGACATGCATGAAATAAAGCTGACCACATACATACGGAAATCCGTTTCGAGATTAGGTTTCGATATTCCGATTCGGAATCCCGAACGCAGCAAGTCCATATAAAATCTATGACCCGCCACACACGTACGGTAGTTTTCCGTTCGATATTTTGAGGGCAAAACGGGATTCCGTTTGTGTGTGGCCGACCGTTCGGAATTCCGAAACGGAATCTCGAAACGGAATTCCGTATGTATGTGGCGGGCCTAATACCCTTACTTGAATTCCTCCTACGCTGACGTCCAGTGTGACCATCTTTAAAATACAGATCCTGCCTTAGTTTGTTAAAAAACCTGCCAAATCCTGCCAAAGTTTGTAATGAAAAATGCCTTAATACTGCCAACTTCATTTACCATTGTATTAAACTAAGAAAAGTAAAAATACACATTTAAATGTTATATTTTTATTAAATTTACTTAAGGTGACACTAATCGACATTATTTCCATAGAAATTTCGGAGGGGTTTTACTCCGCTGTTTGACAGTGTACATCCAAAATTAAACATGATATCGTTTTGTCTCATTATTAAATTTGTCTGTACGGAAACAGAATAGTTAAATAAAATGTTATTAAAAAGTTACGAGCTACCAAAGATTCGTTTTTATTGCCAATTTTAACACAACTTTGGGCGTAAATTAATAATAAAAGAAGTGTAAAATTTCCAAAACAAAGTCGGTACCGACACAGCTCAATTATCGAAGAATTCAATAAATTTTATTCGTAATTGATTAATGCAGTGGTTTTTTCATAAACCCCTTCTTCCAAAGGCCTTTTCGTATTTTTTTAAGCGCGCATGTTACTATGAATTATCGTGCATCTCACTGAATGATGCTTACACGAACATGCACAGGCGGTGACGCGCGCTTATTCGAGTTTTATTCGAAACGAAAAGATTTGCTATTTTGTAATTTGGACGCCAAAGACAAAAGACAGCATGGAAATTGATATAATTGAAAGAGACGATGCGTTTTGGACGACAGACAATATTTTAAAATTTTCGTCTGTAATATAATATAATTATAAAAGTAAAGAAAAAGTAAAGTCTATATTCGATTACTATATAAAATTGCAACAATTTCATTGGTGCCGACGGGGATCAAACCCGGATTGCTCATGTAATGTGATACTTACAGCGAGCGCTAACCATCTGAGCTACCACGGCTCTCAATGCAAATGTTATAAATAAATAAAGAATTACAAAACAGTTTAATTATTTATTAGACGACTGTTACGGCGGACAAACAAAGTATATTATGTGGGATTTTCATAGGTACCTACTGTTATAACCTAGATACCTACTACCTACAATACAACAAAATGTCACAAAACGTCGCCGCGTCGTGGCTACAAAATGGTAAACTTTAGGTAGGTACGTCAGTACTAAGAAAACAATCTTGATGGGTCACTTGTCTTGATAAAAACCTGTGCTTACGTTTAGTGATACTTATTGAGTATATATAAAAAAGTAAGAAGACAGGTAAGTAACTATTTTTGAAAACAATTTATAGGTAGGCAGAACTAATTACGATTATTATCTAAATATTATAATAAATACAAAAGTTTGGATATTTGGATGGACGGATGAATGGATGTATGTTACTCAATCACGCCACAACGGCTGAAGGAATCTGGATGATATTTTGCTCAGAGATAGGTTATAGTCTGGTATTTTTTTTTAATAAAACGTTACCCCCACACTAGGATTTTCTCCTGTATCGTGGAGGCAGTTTACAAACATCCAGACCCAGAACAATTATTTGTAGGCCATACAAATACTTGTTCGATTGATTCGAACCCGCGGCTCCTAGTACAACAATTCATTGCTAAGCCACTGCGCCACAGAGCTGTCAAATAACATAGTATATGATACCGTTTATTCAGGTATTTCGTTCTCGAGGGATAATTTTCGAGTTACACATGTTCGAAACCGAACTCTTGAGTGATTGCTGCATGACCACTCGGGGAAAACTAAACATAATAAAATAAGCAATCTATATTAGGTATATAGAGCCACAAAGGTATAATATGAAGCAATAAAGCAGCACCTAATAATTTCGCGGTTTCACCCGCGTCATCACGTGTCCGAGATGCGTGGCATGACATGACACCTAGTTCAAGCATTTTATAATTGCAATCAAATATTTTATTTAATAGTAATGTATGGAAAAATTGCATTATTAATGGAGTACTTTTATTTTATCTGTCGGCATATTATGCGCGATTTTTTCCAGTTTTAAAGAAAAACGTACACGATACATGAAAAGTGTGTAGGCAAGAAATGATTCTTGATAAATTTGCTATCAACCTCTTATACTCATTAATCAATTAAATTTAAACTTTCAAAATACCATAGCAACGTGAAATGAAAGAGTTCAGAAATAAAGATGTAACTAAGCATTGTTACGCTCACCCGGGAGATAGATAAAAGTACACAATTAATTTTGAATTTATTTTAGCTACTAGCTGTTCCCCGCGACTTCGTTCGCGTTTAGTTTAGGGCGTTAATTTTGTTGCAAAGACACCTAATAATTTTTCTAAAATTTAAGCAGTCTAAGTTACTTCTTATAACATGAGCTATCTACTAGTGAAAGTCCCGTCAAAATCGGTCCAGCCGTTTTGGAAATTAACCGGAACAAACGGACTGACAGACATACAAAAATGTTAAAAATTGTGTCAATGTTATAAGTACCGTATACAATTTCATACGCAATTAGTAAAAAGCTGTTATTTTGACATTACAAACAGACACTTCAATTTTATTTATTTGTGTAGTTATAGATAACGATTGAACTAACGGCTAACCTAACCTCGCTCATAGAAGCTTTCAATAGTGGCTTCTCAGTTCGCACCGGGCTAGGAGTTATGCGTTGTTTGCGCGTCAAGCCAAGTATTGAATTATTTTAATTTTACATTATCTCTTAAACTATGTACTATATAAACATGGTACAAAGAACGAAGTTTATCGTCATAAAATTGTCTTCATAATGAAGTAACTTTCGTTCGTAAGGTGCCTAATAATTAAATTTTCATTTTTTTTTGTCACAAAATGCCTAATTGTGGCTTATATATAAGAAATAGACATATGGTATCGCGGACTTTTTTTAGACGGAGTAAAGATCTATATTTTTCTAGAACATTGTATTTACGTATCCCGAACCATAACAGCGCTTTTTCTTCTGACTTCCTCAACAAATATAGGCTAGCTGAGATATATAGCCTAATACTATATATATCCTATACTATTCAACATGAATCTGGCTATAATATCCAAAAAAAGATTTTTCAAATCGGACTGGTAGTTCCAGGGATTAGCACGTTTAAACAAACAAAAACACTCTTTTGCTTTATTATATTAGTATAGATGTTGCATCGTGTTCGTGTAACTTCGTTTTTATTCTAACGGTTCGGAACGCCGTACGAACAAGACATGCGTGAATACTAGTGTCGATATGCTCATCACTGACACTATCTCTGTCGGGCACGATGCCAGGTGAGACAGCGTGCTTTTTGGCCGCGCCCACCAGCGAGTTCGCGCCCGCAACTTGTGCCATCTTAAGCATATCTTTCGTTAATTTAAATGCAATGCAGTCGCCATACAATCTACATGTTTGTTTATAATCTGTTTCGTGTTTTTGTATTAAATTTATTGGACAGAATATTCTTTCACATGCTGATTCCACTCATATTTTTCTGACGTTTACGAGTAGCGACATGCTCTTCTAAAGTGGACAGCCGGGGTGCCAATTTGCAGTCTGGATCACCTTTAGTTTTGGAAATCCACGAAGAAAGTAAAGGATCTTGCTCCCACTCTGCTCTATACGCCCTTTCATATTTTCGCTTCATCACCACCACCTATAATTTCTATCATCCACAATATATTATTAACAAGATGTATCACCATGAAATCTAATGGGATACCAAACTAAAGTACGTCTCTTCAATGACTGATTGAAATACTAACCATAAGCTCGTGTTTATGAATATAAGTTTTAAGATTACAAACTTTTAAAGTTGTTTATTGAATGTGATACAAACATAATACGAGAAGTACAGGGAAATCCCCCTGCTGCTGGCGAAGTATCTATAACAGGGTTGAATTTTCGGCATTTTAAATTGCTATAATGAAATCTATTTTTAACACCCTCACTGCTGCACCCATACTGCCAAATACTGCCAGGTTTTATAAAACGTCAATCGATCATGCCAGATGCTAAAATAAGAGGCTAATCCTGCCAAAATGGCAGGATCCTGTCACATATGGTTACACTGCTGACGTCGGTCGCGTACGTCGGTCACGCGTACTAATGTACATTGTGTTCTATATAGCCCCATATTACGACGCTGACGACAGCGGCACGTAGTATGCTACGCGCCGCGTATCGCGCGCGTCGGTCTCGCTCGTCAGCGCCGCGTACGTCGGTCGACGTACGAACGTGCAATAGTGCAAGCGCCCTCACTCTATTACCGACGATCCACGCGTCCAAGTACAGTTGCAATGAATATCGATACAGAACGTCTTATTTACCTAATGATTTGTACATAAATAGGAGAGCAAAATACTGGGTAGAAGTTTTCAAGGCTTTATTTCCGGATTACAATAATGAGGACGATAGTAAAAACAGGAGATCGATAAGTAAAAGACAAAATAGAGCGAAGGCACCTAATACAGGAAAGATTTTTGCTTAAAAGGTGTCTTCGATCACTATCTGTAAATGTAGACAATATGTTATCGAAATAAATTATTATTATTATTATTATTATTTCTCGCTGACGTACGCGACCGACCGTACGCAACCGACGTCAGCGTAGGAGGAATTTAGGCCTAAGAGCGCGATTCGTTCGTTGTGTGCGCGCTTTGTGTTTCAAAGAGTATTTAGGTACAACCAAAACAATTTGTTATTTAGAATTTTATTATAGATAGTTATGTACCTAATTTAATTTATTTTCTAATTTTGATTAATTATGATCAATATAGTTATGAAAGTCACAGAAATATTATTGAAATAACCGAAAATGGTGGTTAAGTTATGAGATATATCATACTTTAAATTAACTCTAAATGTAACACTCAACTCACAATAAATATATTGAATTTCAAAAAATCCTAATTTATTTAAGAATATGATAATTAAACTATTAATAGCTTATGTCCCTACATCTTAAAGCTAGACTAATATTATTTCGGGAGGACTGCTACATAGCTAGTTTTGTTTTTAAATACAGGTACTTACTATAACTAATATTAAACCAAAAATACAAAAGTATGTGATACATACTAAAAATACCTTTTTATATCAACCCTACATAGTAAGTTTGGTAGTTATAGTTATCCCAACCCACCAAAGCTAGATAGAAAAATAAATTTATAAAAAAGCAATTTGAAACAAATCATCTACTCTGTTTCATACTGCTAACTCGAGTTGTGTAACTCGAGTTTAAACCCGAGTTGCGTGAATTTCAACTCGAGTTAACTTGAGTCGTAATTTTTCAGAGTTGGCACATCTATGCGTAAGCATCATATTAGTCTGGGGTTGTATACGAGGTGTTTTATATCATACAGGGTGTCCAGTGGCAGATTTCAAAGTTTGAAAAATTATAAAAAAAAGAACGACACGTTTTATGCAAAGTATTTTTATTAAAATATAAAGAACATAAAGGCGGATTTTATTTTTTGAAAACAACGTTTTCTAAATGGCGGCCATCGACCCTAACACACTCCTCGAGTCTGGAACGCATGTTTTCGAAAACTCTTTTACAAAGCGACTGGGGAATCTTGCTGATTTCTGCTCGAATGTTTTCTTTCAGCTGTGTCACAGTGGTCGGATTTGTTTTGTAAACGATAGATTTTAAGTATCCCCATAAGAAAAAGTCACACGGACTTAGGTCTGGTGACCTGGGAGGCCACGGTATGGTGCCGTTCCGGGATATGATTTTTTCGGGAAACAACTCTCGCACTGCACTCATGGCCACATTAGCAGTGTGAGCTGTGGCCCCATCTTGCTGGAACCACGTATTCCGGTTACAGTATGGACTATTCTGTAATTCTAGTCTAAAAAAATCACTGATCATCTCAGCATATCTCTCGGAATTTACTGTTACAGTTTGGCCACGTTCATTTTCGAAGAAATAAGGCCCTATTATGGCAGACGCAGATATTGCACACCATACTGTGACTTTTGGTTTGTGTAAAGGCTCTTCATGCAATTTTCTCGGGTTGAAAATATCCCAATAACGAAAATTTTGTTTATTTACATATCCTCCGATATGGAAATGGGCTTCGTCACTGAAGAATATGTTACCCATCCGAGTAGCAGTTTTAAATCTCAACAACATCGTCTCTGCGTAAGTTTTCCTTAATTCAAAGTCAGATTCGAGTAAATCTTGGACGATTTGGATCTTATAAGGATGTAATTTAAGTTTTTTTCGCATTATTACCTGTAAAGTTGATTTACTAATACCCAAAATCGATGAACGTGCTCGAAGTGATAAACGAGGATTTTCAATCACAGAAGCCATAACACGTTCGACATTTTCGTCCGTGGCTACCGTTGGTGTTGGTCCTGGTCTGGGTCTATTTATTGTTGATCCCGTTGCTCTAAACCTTGCTACCCAAGACCGAATCAGGTTGATTGATGGTCCATCACGAATTCGACGAATACCGTAGTGATTATTAAATCGACGACGGGTTTCAGACAGCGAAAATCCACTCGAAAAGTACACCTCGACGACAAAAGCGCGGTGCTCTCCACTCCACGGATCCATGGCTACTAAAAAATCCGCATCGCTTGCACGTCGAATAACCCCCTCCGCGCCGTTCTCCTACGTTGCGTTCGAAAATTAAGTCTGTTCAAAGTTTGAATTCTGCCACTGGACAGCCTGTAGATTGCTTATTAGTTATAAGCTTTTAAAAAGTTACTTCACAAACATCCGCTCTATAAAATAAAATGATGTGTCTTACCTAGTATGAAGAGCACCTCCCGCCTTCCCTCAATTGCGTGCACTATTCCCGTCACCACTAATCCCAGCACCACTATACACACACACACACACGTGTTTCACCTCTACACGTGCTAGTGTAGAGGCGAAACACGTGTCGTATTGTCGTCAGTGGTGTGTCTTTCCTAGTGTAGTGGAGTTGGGAGTAGTGGTGCTGGTATTAGTGGTGACGGGGATAGTGCACGCAATTGAGGGAGGGCGGGAGGTGCTCTTCATACTAGGTAAGACACATCATTTTATTTTATAGAGCGGATGTTTGCGAAGTAACTTTTTAAAAGCTTTTAAATAATGGATTTCCGCAAAGTAACGCCTGATTCTATTAATTGCTTATTAGTTTGTAGTGATTGGACTCGAGTAAAATAAAAACTACTCGAGTTACTCGAGTAGTTTTTATTTTACTCGCACTTGTAATATTTATGACAACTCGAGTGACACGAGTCAACTCGAATGACTCGGACCACTCGAGTGGCCTGTACCGACTCGAATGAGAAATTCAAGTTAAAACAGTTTTAGCCGATGTATCTTCCATTTCAAATTAAGTACAAATTTATTTAAGTAAGTCGTTTGTATTTAGTAATATGTTTATCTAAGACTGATTACTACTAAAACGTCCTCGAAATGAGTAAAAGTTCCAAAAAAGCTATAGTGTGGTCGTATTACGACAAAAATTTTGAACAAAAAACAATTATTTGTAAGTTGTGCAAGAAAAGACTTTGTGAATACTACCAACTTGATTTCTCACAGTATGAAGAATAAACATCCGACACAGTACAAAAATAATATGCAATAATAAATAAGAATATTAAGGGTAAGTCAAATTGTTACGGCCTACAGCTGCCCCTGCAAAGTTCGTCTTGGCTGGGGCCCATAGCAGCTTCTTCGACGGGCAGGCGCAGGTCGGGCCCAATGGCCATATGGAAGAATTTCCTATAACACTAAGCTATATGGGAGAAGGTTAGGGAAATATAGTACGTACCTGTTTCCGACTCTTAGATCGCCCCAAGGCTCGGTCAGGCCGTAAGTGGGTGTGAGGTGCATGGCAAGTAGTGTTTCGTGATGTTTAAATGTCTGAGACCTGGACCAGCTTGGGCGACCAGCAGCGGCCGAGTTCCAGGATGCCCCAAAATGCTGCATCACTCCAGCAGGCTCCACCGCTGTACCATTTCTTTCTTCATTGTCACTATTTCAGTCTATTAGCTTCATTGTACATTTAACTAACTTAAACTCGCCTTATTCCACATTCATCGTAGAATCCACACGTGACACCCGACACAGTAAGGACAGTAGTTCAAAATTCGACATTCAATGTCCCGGATTCACTTATCACAAAATTATAAATAGGGAATTAAAGCGATCTCTTAATGAGTCATACGGTTCAGCGTTAAACACAACTAAGTTCCTCCATTTGACACCAAAACACCACGTCGCGAAAATAATTCAAAATACGCCTCGTTGACACGTAAACTAACAAGCCAGCCAACACACAAAAAAGGGCACTTAACGCGACGGCACAATTATAATGATTTCCTGACAATCAACCGGGAGAAGCTCTCGAACAAGGAATGCGCGGTTCGAATCCTAGACCGTATATCTACTCGACGCGCGCGTGCACAATTCCGCATCCCCGAACAAGTTAAATATTGCAAAATTCACATATCCACGTAACGAAGTAACACGCACTTAATCTAACTATCTGGACCCTACAACGATCGCGTGAACTTCGGCCGCGATAAACAAGCTACGCGGGTTCCCCGCATCGCGGCCAGCGGGCAACTCCTCTCCTTCGCCCACGCGTCGAGCCACATAAGCCGCACACTGCCGCCCCACCTTGCGGCGTTTATCTCACCTACATACTATCGGGTGACGCGACAGCTCAAACGCAATTGGATGGCGTTCAACATGACCAAATTTGGGCATAAACACAAGTTCATCTCACGCGTCTTCTACAACTAATGAAGCAGAGAGTTTTACTTCCACGTCTGCTGATTTCAATGGGGATCCACACGCAAAGCTAATCGTAGAGGGCACCAGCGGCGCCATGGCTGCTGTCAAATTGTTGTAGATTAGTTTACATGAGGAGATTTTGCTTTTCTTTGTATTGAAACTGGTTGACCATCGATCATTTTAAGATGTATTGTACCTGGAAGCTTAAAGAATTGAAAGACGAACTAAAAAAACGAGGAGCGAAGATAACTGGAAAGAAATCAGATCTTGTTGAGAGGTAGGCTTGTATCTACTAAAATATTATACACCTGTAGACATATATATACAAGTTAAGGATTTGGAGCTAGTTTTGTTTGGAACGTGTTAATTATTTCTTGATCAATGTTAGGAAAATTTAGAGAACATTACTCAAATCATAAATGGTATTTTTTGCTTTTAGGTTAGAATCATATGACCGAAATTTTTACTGCTTTACAATTTTTTTTTTTTTTTGTAGGATAAGGGTGACAAACGAGCACACAGTTCACCTGATGGTAAGTGGTTGCTGTGGCCCATAGACATCTACATCTATCTTCGATTAAGAATCAAAATGCAGCTGCGTTGTCACCCGTGAGGACTAAGATGGAATGCCTCGTTTCCAGTAAAAGGGTCTCCGGTTCTCTACACTCACCAAACGAAACACAGCAGCGTTAAGCTGCTATTTTACGCTGGTATTCTGAGAGAGCGTGGTCCTTCCCCGATCGAGCCGACCCATTCGTGCTACAACTATAATATAGCTGCAGCATGGCTCTACCACTTTTAAACAATATGTTGATGCATCACATTGTGCAGCCCTTGGGAGATTTTGACGGCAACTTGAGCCAGCAGAAAGCTGACCGTTGGCGATGGTATCTAAGGACGCTTATGCTGAGAAACAGCTTATCTTGAGAATCCATCACCATCAGAGCACTTGTTTCACCATTTCCACAACACGCAGCTGAAGTGGATTCACCAAGCCCACTTGGAATGACCTCTTTGGGCTGGCCCTTCATCCAAGGCCAAGCTACGGCTTAGCAAGTGTAACTATCTATCTCACTCGCACTTCAAAAACCTATTGACGACCCTTGTCTATCTGAATCTGTAACTCCAAACATGTTTTTTGGGCACACCATAACGGTTTCAAGGATAATAATTACTAATTGTGTTTGAGTTTTGTTCAGAAAACATATGAATGTTTTTGTGCATAGTGTCACGAGCATTTTAGAATCTTTATTAGTTGTGCTAACTTTTATAATAACTTGCAACAGTATTGTTCCTACATTTTTTGAGTGAAATCTGATTAAAAGTAAAAATTTATAAATTTACAAGAAAAAATAACATAATTTAAAATTTTTTCGTAACACATCGTTTCGTTGAAAAAAGATACAGGAATTTATCCTTAATATATGTTGAACAAGTTGGATAATTCAAATTGAAGGAAGAACACGCAGAATTCCAGTATTTCGTCTTTGTCGTATAGTGAGCTATTTCGGGCGATCACGATACAGAGATATGTGTTCATATTTTCGAAGACCATATTTATATCTAATGCAAAAATATTAGATTAACAATTATTCAGATGACGCTCTGGCTTGTTAAAAAAAATTTGGTTCAAATCTGCGTAGCATCTGCATAATCAATAATGGGCATTATGAGTTAGTGTTTCCACAAGTGTTTCTTCAATAATCTATAACAACTTGTTCTAAGTAAATATACCCGTTAGCAACTTCAAGCGTAGTGTTACCAACAACCGCCGACATATTACATGTGCTGAGCATAATACTGACGTGCTCCAGCGATTCCGTCAAATTAACAATATCGTGTCATGTATTAGTGGCGTTAGAGAATTCACTACCCCGTACCATTTTGTGGGTGTCATAGAAAACGATATAGGGAAATGAATGAAGATTCTGTATAACCGTTACCGTTATTGTTACAGCCTATTAAAGTCCATTGCTGAACATAGGCCTCCCCCATAGACTGCGTTATAGGGGGGATATTTGCCATAGTTTTCACGCTTGGTAAGCGCAGATTTTTCTTTTTAGTCATTATTAGGAAGACGCTACCCATCTTCTGATTTGTTACCCTCTGTCGTGTCGTCATATGGAGTAGTGGACATCCTTATACCACTACTACACAGTAAAGCGTTTACCTAAGAACAATCGAAAATAGAATGATTTGAGTGGGATTTTGATACGTAAAACTGGTATCATTTTGTATATAAACTATCTTCGCATGTGAACTGTTATTAGAAACGATGTTACAAGTCCTTCAATGGTGATATAAATATCAAAGATTCTTATTCTTTTAAGATAGTAATTCTCGTAATCAACTGTCCGCTAGGTTAAACTATCATCAAAATCGCCCTGAAACTTCGCAATGTATTGCATCATCATATTGTGAAGAATTTATTAAGCAAAATACATAATTATTGGACTGGCCTGAATGGTTTAAGACCATTGCCTTCCTTACTTGGCAAACAACAATTGTAACAACAAATAAGTCTATGATCACAAAGTCACAAACTAATAGTGATGGCACTCGAGTGACATTTTTTCACTCGAGTTACTCGGCTGTCAAAAACTAATAAATCTAATAAGACAAATCAATTGGTTAGAGCTAATATTTTTTTTTGTTTCTTCTTAATAAACGATGCATTAGGCCTTGCAAACTGTAGTTGCTGAAAAAGCCGTTTCTTTGAAATATTTAAAATAAAAAAGACAAGGCTGTATGGCTTAGTTCCTTTGCCTGCTCTTCCGATATATAAATAATCAGCGAATAATAAAAACAACAAACACAATCAA